ATCCCCCCCCCACATCATCATCAACAGTAAATTCGATTGCATTATCATAGCTAATTTCAACACTTGTTTCGACAGACAATATAAGGTAAAATTCTGCAACATATTTTGTATTTATGTATAAATCTGTGTTTAATTTCATGCTTTTTTAAAAATATTTTATAAAATGTAGAGTTATAAGGATAAAGAGAAAAAATAATCGTTTTTGTCATCTGTTATTATGACTTTGCGGTAAACGAATTAAATCAAAAGCTTTTATGTTTCTAATGGAGTGTGTTTAAATAAGATAACTAATTTTACTACATAATTTGTAGCTATTTCAAATTATTTTATTAATACTTTGTAGTTTATTTAACATTAGTATAAAAAGTAAAGTTTTTTTTAAAGAAATAAAGTATTAATACTGTATATTTTGGAAATTTGCATTTTTTCACAGTTCTATTTCAAACGAAGTTTTGATAGTTAATTTATAACATACTTCTGTACTATTAGCAACATGATTAACTGTTTTATCCAATAATGAAACTATAAAACAGAAATATTATAATATGTTTCCTTCACTGTATGCTTCAATCGCATGCATATTCGTAATTGAAGATTTTAATAAGACTTAACAAGTGACATTGGGACCAATAAACTTAAAGGATAATTTTTAAACCATATCTCCCATTATTTTTAACCTTGAAATTTTTTTCCCATTAAATAGCTTCTTTTGTGTTTGCTTAGAAAGACTATATTTTCTCAATAGTATTTTGAAGTTCGTTAACAGTGCTATATTGTTTACCATTTTCATGTAGCTGACGGGAAAAAGTGCCTCAAACGTTCTTATTCTATTTTGGTCTGGTCTCTGGTCAGAACATGATCTCTCACCTGAACATTTTGTTGAGAAAGCCACTTTTTGTCGAACGTAAAATAGGTATCTAGGAATCTTCTCGTTGAAATATGTAATCAGTTCATGCCATGAGGTCTTTAAAAGGGAAAATATGTTTCCTCGGTACATGTTGCTTTATTTTAGATGTCAGTCTTTCCTTCAACAAATACAGGGTTATCTTTCCATTTAAATCAAAGCGTTGCCAGAGTTTGTCTTCTTGATGCATGCTGACGATTCTTAATTCTTTTTGAAGTTCATGCCAATATTATTCCAGCTGTCCGGACCATCACAGTTCCATTTTGATTTCTCATCACTGAACTACAACCATTTGTTGCCATATAAAATGTGATTTTTTTTTTTTTTGTTCCCTCTTTTATTCTTGCTAATTTAAGATTTGGCTTAAGACATGGTTGGGGATGAATTTTTATCACTATATTTCTTCTCTCAATTACGTCGATGAATGGTGTTATTAGAATGTTCACATATAGTAGATCTTTTTTATTTGGCGAACTGACATTTTGCCTTGATACTGATTTTTGAACTTGACTGTCTACCTGAACACCCGTATTTCGGTTTTCGGATGAAATTTTTCATTTATAATTTTAAAAAAATGCCTGTCTGTGTCTCCCTTATAACTTTATGACCACTTAGGCTAGTGTCCTGATATTTGGATTACAGATACAAAGATATTTCGTAAGCACAGATATTAACGTATGAATGGGTGATGTCGCTGATTCTTAAAAGCTATCTGTAACCACGAAGACTACATAATCAAAACGACTCATAATCTAAATCATTGCTTGCTATCAATACTGTAAAAAATATTAATTGCAATTGCTGCTAAAATTATCATGAAATAAGCTTATAATCGGTTATAATTACTTTTAATTATATTGGAAGTAATTTATTTGTAATGCCATTTCGGTTAATTATGGTTTATAAATATAAAGTTTTTTTTTATAAAAATCAATTTGCAACTTTATTCTTAAGCTAATTTATAACTCATCCTAAAGTAATTGTCATTAATTATTCTTCTTTAAAATCGAAAGTCTTAAATAGTTTCGAAATTTCTCCACTCTGTACTTCCCCTCTGGGTTATGGTTTCGGCAAATCTTGCTTTTCCCACGCCTGTACGTTTTCAGTAAGAAATTGGAATAGCGAGGGGTAGTAGCAAAATTTACCGAAACAATAGTAACTATATGTAGGAAAATGTGTAGAAAATTGTAAATCTCTTCCTGTTCTATTTACTTATTCGTTCGTTAATTTTTTTTTCCTTTCTAGAAAACGTACGGCAAAACAAGAGACTAACCAGACATTGAGAACATGGCAGAAAGGGCTGTTAGAATTGTCATCAGTTCTTCTATATTTGCTGCTGCCATGGCTGCTTCATGGCATCTCATACCAGATACAAAGTCAAAACTGGCCATCATGGGTAGTGTTGTTGTGGGGGTTCTTGGTGGTGTTCTGTTTTCAAAGTTTGTTGCACCACAAGATGACGGACAAGATAATGTTCCTGCAGCACCTCTGGAAAATTAAGTTAGCCAATGAAACTTTTTAATTTTCAACTCATGAGTTTGAGTAGCAATCTGCTTTTATTTGAAATGTGTCAGCTTTTAAGGTTTTAACCTTTTTGTATTATCGTGAATAAACTTCAATTTTTCTGCATGTTTAGAAATGTCAATTTAGTGAGCATCCACACAATGTAAAACAAATCCTGATATTCTAATATGTTTAAAATTATATAATGCTTTACCGTTATTTAAAATAGTAACTGCTTAAAATATTAACTACTAGGCGGGTTAATATTTTAAGCTTTCTCCCTGTTCGCAGCTGTACTGAAAACAAAACTGTTCGCTTACGTTTGTCTCCACGTCCAAAAATTTTCCTTGTGATGTTATTCAGATCTAAAAGTGAACATAAGCGATTTTTCCTAAATATTTTAAAAATATAACATTTAAAAATATATTGTTATAACAAATTCAAGTCAACAACAGTCATTTAGTATTTTCGCTTACCAAACGGACGGATATATATTAAAAATAACTTTTGCATACATCACATTGTGCATGAAGCTGATCGTTAAGTACTTAATTATTCAACGAATCTATTTTAATTGTAATTTATAGTAGTATATAAATGTAATTTTCGAAAAAAATAATTTTAAAACTGTTAAGAAGAGTAGACGCGGATTTAAACAACTTTATCTTAAAATGCATCGTAGAACTACATTATAATTGCACCGTCAACAATGGAAAACCTGCATTAGACAATTATGGATTTAATATATATCGAAATGTTTGATGCAGTTTGTAAATTTTCGGATTAACACCCGTTTTGCGAACACGAGGAATCCCTGCCAGACTTAGTCTTTAATAATAAATATCTAATGTCCCATGTGTTGTAATATTTTAATATTATATATAATATTAAAGTGTTGGAACACCAGAGAGTTCATTGTAAGCAAGTAATTTTATTAAATAGGCAAAACTTAACTTCATTTTCCATTTGGTAGAAGAAATTTCATAGAAAAATTGTGTTTATTCTAGTCTGGAAACTTTTATTTGGAACAGACACAAAACTTCAATTGACATTGGAGCGCTTTAGCTAGTCCAACGCTAGTTTAAATTTAATAAACTAATTCTTTTTGGAGGTAAAAATAGTTATACAAATTTTGTTTTTGATGATCTGAATTGACAGAAGCTTTTACTATTATTTGTCACAGAGTCTCAGTTGAAATTCCAGCCTAATTGATAGGAAAGTGGACTAGATTGTGATAGGAGATAAGTTTCATTTCTCCCTTCATTACATTAATAATGACTCATTAATATTGAATGTTCATTATTATTATTTTTTAGAAATTTTGGTGAGTCGTGGTGGCTTAGGGCAGTGGTGCGCAAACTTTCTTCGACTGCGACCCCTTTTGTAGAGAAAAAAATTTTGGCGACCCCTAGAGATAAATGTTCACAAATACGATGTATATTTCGCGCATTTCTTTCGTTTCATCGAATAAAAACATCATTATATTTGACTCATATTAATTTTATTTATAATTTTAAGAAAATACTTTTTGTTTAACACAAAAATCAGTAAATTGCCCTTTAATGAGATGTATGTGGCTGCAAGTTTCTAATTATCTCATCGATGTTTGGATGTATGTTGCTAATTGNGAGTTTAACATTAGTAGTCTTAAACCCTATATTGGGCTGTTCAACGACGGCTGTAAGATAAAAATAAATTTTGGTTACTGTGGTTAGTAAAAGATTAAAATCAGAGTTGTCATTTAAAACTCTAGATGAGATCATTGAAAGTGGTTCGATTTTTAATATAAATATTTTATCCTCAACGACACGAAAGCGAGTTACTAAAAACATAGCAAAAAAATATACTTTTTTAAACGAATGCTCATTTTGTGCAATCGTTGATAGAATTAATAGGAAAAAATAATTCATGCCGAAAAAATAAGTTTTGGGTAAATGTTCGGGGTCCTTAATTGGTTAAAAAAAGAAATGAATATTTGGTTTTGAAAAATGAAAATCGTAATGTTGAGTAAAAAATATTTAACTTCGTGATCTGAATCAGGAATCGCATAAAATAGGTAACCTACTTTTTTTAGTTCTACAAAAAATTAAAGCTTTGAAAAATCGAACAATAGCATTTTCAAAACTTCCGATCTCGATAAAAAATATTATTTTATTTTCACGAATTTAACAATGGGTGAGTTTTTGTTGCTCAAGAGCTGAAATAAAACTCCCAATTGCACGTTTGCGTAAAATATTTGCTAGTGTTAGTGATAAAACAAATGAATTGATTACTGAGCACACATTTCCAGAATTTCAAAAGAACTAGAAAACATATTTTTTTTAATCAGAACTTGCGAATATTTAAATTATTTGTAATAAAAGAAAACCGTTTTGAACTAAATGGATTGAACAGAGAATAAAGCATTGAAGCATAGTTTTTCCTACTAAAGGGGGAAAAAAATCTTCCTCAAAGTTGTAAAAATTGACGTCTTTGACAAACACGGATCTATAATATTGATGCAACGAGATACTTTTTTTACAAATTAGGTGGTATATATTGTAGATTGACTAAGGGCAATAAGAGTAGATTGACTAAAGACAATAAGAGTAGATTATCTAAAGGCAATAAGAGTAGATTGATTAAAGGTAATAAGAATAGTTTGACTAAAGGCAATCGGAGTAGATTGACTAAAGGTAATAAGAGTAGATTGACTAAAGACAATAAGAGTAGATTATCTAAAGGCAATAAGAGTAGATTGATTAAAGGTAATAAGAATAGTTTGACAAAAGGCAATCGGAGTAGATTGACTAAAGGCAATAAGAGTAGATTATCTAAAGGCAATAATAGTAGATTGACTAAAGATATTAAGAGTGGAATGATTGAAGGTAATAACAGTGACTGAATTCGATTGAATCAGACTCAAAGTTTATACCTTCTTTTTTTAAAAACTCTTTTTTCCTTAAGGTTACTTAGTATTTCAATCTGACATCCATGACGGAACAAATTCCTATATTGGAACCGGTATCCATTGGCTGCATGTACGATAAATTAGGTTAATAGATAACAGTGTTGTGCTAACAAAGCGATGATCGTGGATTCAATCTTCAAATGAACCAATATTATAAGTCTAATGACAACCGAAAATTATAGATCGAATTCTATTCGAATTTACAATAGAAGATAAGGGATGATATTTACAGGGTAACAAAAAAATATAGGGATCAATTTTGAATGTTTATATTTCCAAAATTTGTTACATAAATTCAGCGATGCTTCTCATTATGGTGACCACCGGCATAATAGATTTGTCTAAAACGCTTCGGAAATGATTTTAAAGCCCGCAAAATGATTTCCTGGGGGATTTTCTTCACCTCTTCTCTAATAGCTCTTTGAAGGCCTCTCAATGCAGAAATTCTTCGCTTATTCATTTTGTTTTTCAGATGTCCCCATAGGAAATAGTCGCATGGTGCAGCATCAGGACTGTTTAGAATCCATTGTTCTGGTCTCAGGAATTGCACTTGCTGATCTGTTAGGAATTTCTGGGTGACCTTAGATGCATGCGATGGGGCGAGTCCTGATGGAACACAGCATCACCATTAGAGTGCAATCTGCGGTAATCATCCTTAAGAAAGGGCTTTAATATCTTCTTTATATAATACTCAGAATTTATTTTGGCCCCAGGTTTCACAAACCGAGGTTTGGTCACACCATGGGCGGATATGCCCATCCAAACCATTACGCCTTTGGGATGAAGCATCGTGGTTGATGGTGTCAAGTCTCGCCTGTTCTGCCCGCGACTAAGGTATTGAACTTCAGATTTAGCATTGGTATCATATAGATAGATCCAAGCTTCATCAGTTGTAATGAACTTTCGCCATCTGTCCTTACGGAGAAGCTTGCAGAGGGGCCATGAACGTTGCCTTCTAATCTGCACCGATCTCTCACTTAAATGACGACATTTAGGTTTTTCATGGCATTTTTTCTTCAACTTTTGTTTTAGTTGATAGCTTACAACTTGCTGACTCACGTTAGGAGCTTTAGCCATGCTTGCCTGAGTTGGTGGATCCGGTTTTGATGTCATCTTATCAAGCTTCTGCAAATCTGACTTCTTCAATTTGCTTGGCCGTCCACTTCTTTTTGGTTTTGCATTATTTTGCATCGACCCGGGTTTTGAATTCTTAATGCGACTGATATGGCTTGGTGAAATCGCAATACTTTTTAAAATGGGTTTGTATAATCCTGTGGCTCCAGCGAAGTTCTAAAAAGGCTTGTACTTGACCAATTAGCTTTTTGTCAAATTTCTTCAAATGCATTTTTGTGACTTTATGAAATAGTATTGCAATTGAAAGTCTAATAGCAGAGCTTTAGATCAGTAAGCTATATATGTAAAAATGTTTTAAAACTTTAGTGGTAGATAGTCACAAAAGTGATCCCTATACTTTTTTGTTACCCTGTAGAGCTTTCAAAATTGTCCCCCACTTCACTCTCAAAGGGTGTTCAAGATCGAGTTTGGTATCATTGGATAGCTTTTAAAAAACACCTTGAAAGAATCTATTTTCGATTCGAAGGATATTTCGAGAGATATTTGACCATATCCAAATTTCTTTTAGGTCATGTATATCAGGAGTGGATGAAAGTTAACTCTCTGGCGTGGAGGTAGCGGATTTGATTTCCACAAATAATAAATCCCATAACCTTTTTTGTTGTATCTTTGTGTTGTGCTTCTTTAAGCATCATAAGTCTATTTTTGTATCTATTGATTTATCTATTTCTTTCTTTGTATGCATAAGCAGGTTTGTGTGTTCAATTCAAAGAACAGTTTGAAAATTCTTCTCAAGTAGAAGAATAGATAGCGCAAATGGGAGAAAAGCAACACAAAATTACAATCAGTGGTAAGTCCCACCATTCTGAAAACGCTCTGTAGCTTCGAAATAGTGAGTTCGAATACCACTATAATCCTGGGTGTATCTTTGTGATGATCTCTTTTAACTTAATGTGCCATTTATTCCTCAATTTATTCACATTTGACAAAGGTTTATAAGTCTAAATGTCGAACACAAGCCTGCAAATGTATGTAATTTCAATAAAGCAATATGTTTTAGAGTTGGGATGATCGTAAAGACAGGGTCCCCAACAGAACACCCAAGTCAAACATCACTGGCAGAGATCAGTGAGTGGGTGAGAGATCAATTTCATCAGCTTCCGAAGAGACTGAAGGTGTTAAGGGCCGTAGTTAAAATTCGTAAACCGTAAAAAACTCGACTTTGCGTACTGGTCATCAGGCTATCATAGAGGAGGAGCCATCCCCTCTGCAGAGGATCGAAATCGTGACGTCACTTCTTCGGATCATCCTCAGGGACGTTTCCAAGACCATCACCAATAGTCATTGTGCAGCTCTAGTGCGACGTATATAAAGTATTAGTACTACCACTTCAACATGACAAGTGTGCTTCTAAGCCGTATTCTGAGCACACCAGCCTGATATAAATAAATAAATAACAGAACGACTCATGAGACTCCTTTGCATTGAGCGCACATGCCTAACATACGTATGCGATTAAATACATAAATCAAAAAATCACAACTTATTAGGCCTTGCTCAATCCAAATATGACCCGCAGTGGACTGATCGTTAAGACACGGTTCCCAGCAGATCACCAAAGTCAAGCATCACTGGCTACGGTGACTGTGCGGGCGGGTGACCACTTGGATCAGTCTGCGTAGGGACCGAGGGTGTGCGGTATTGGTCCTCGTTAAACTGTGCTACCGTAAAGTGCTCGACTTCGCGCGCAGGTCGTTGAACTACCGAAGCGGGATTGCCATCCCCTCCGCAGAGGATCAAAATTGTGATGGCATGTCTTTGGATCATCCTCCGGAATGTTTCCCAGACCGTCGCCAATAGCCCATTGTGCAGCTTTAGTGCGACGTAAATTAACAACAACAATCCAAATTTATTTATTAGTCCGAATTCATGCAGATTTCTGAGCTCAATTACGTAAGAACGGCTTATGAGCCACTGTAAAGAAGAAAGATAGTATAATTCAGAGAATGGCAGTGCAAAGATACAATGTGATTCGAACCCGCAACCTCCACAGCCCACGCTACAGAGCGTTTGACGAGCGATCCCGTCAATTCAAACTTAATCTCAAAACGCGTATCTTCTTCATCTAAACAACTCAACATAGTTTAATCTCACCACTCTCTACGTCTAAACAATACATAGTTTTGTGTCCCGCAGTGGACCCATCGTTAAGACGCGGTTCCCAGCATATCACCGAAGTCAAGTATTACTGGCTGCGGTCAGTGTGCAGGTGGGTGACCGCTTGGATCAGTCAGCGTGGAGATCGAGGGTGCGCGATATGGATCCTCGTTAAACTGTTCTACAGTAAAGTGCTCGACTTTGCGTCGCCAATAGCCCATTGCGTAGCTGTAGTGCAGCGTAAATGAACTACAACTACAACAACGACATAGTTTTGTTTATCTAGTCCCAACCATGAACCTCGTTAATGGAAATACAGAGCTATAAGCTTACGCACAGAGCTTGTCGCACTAATCTGGTAGTATTGATAAGACCGGCTACTTTGTATTAATTACAAAATTCAATCTCAGTCGCGCTGCTCTCTCGCTTCCGGAGATTAGATAGATAATAAGAAGGTAATGATCTTATGCATTATATGTACGTTTTAAGTCTTAAAGTAAAATTATTTTTAGACAGTCTTACCCATTATTTATTAAGATAAGAAATTGCTTACCATTTAAAAATTTAAACTATTATCACATTAATTTGTGTTTTAAAATTTTCATTAGACTTTTAAAGTCTCCATATTTTCAAGTTTTAAATTAAACTTTTTTTTTAAATCGTTAAACTTCTGCGAATATGTTTTTAATTGAATTAGTTTCTAATTTTGCGGTTATTAATTTTTTTTAAAAAAAAGGTATGCTTTAAATAACTTAAAATATTCTTTAAAAAGTATACGTTTTTTTTATCGTTTTCAAATTTATTCTTGTAATTACGTTTTTTAACTTTTTTCAGTAGCATAAATAAATTTGTTGCTAACCTCCATCTTTACTCTGTCAGAAACTTTTCGATGAGTTTTGTTTGCTTTTAGGCATCTAACTATGTCATCGAAAAAAATATTTTAAAATCTCCGTTCTTTTTTTCACTTAGGCTAAGGAGATGCGAGAAAAGTTAAGTTGGAACGAAATTTAAAAAAAAAATTATATAGGTAGCATTATATTCTAAGTCTAGTTATATTCTAAGTTTTAAAGAGATAATTGAAGTTTTGGAGATGAAGTTTATTATACTAGTGATACGAAATAAGTTTTTTGTTTTAAATCTGACAAAATATCAAACATAGTTCTTCCTTTTTATTCAAGTGAAGAAAGTAATTATTAAATTGATTTTCTTTTTGTTCGTGTTCGAGAGTTTTTGCTATAAAATGGTCGTAATTTCGATTGGCGATAAGTTTTGCTTACATCATGGGAGAAATAATTGTAACGTTTATTGGTATCTGGATTGGAACTTCAGTTAAAACTTGAGCATTTAAAATACCCTGAGAGTGGGCACAATTTCGAACAATTTTGTCTTAATGTAACGATAAATTGACTACCGTTCTATTTATGACTGTCAAAAAATATGAACGCTTGTATTTACTTTCAGTATGACTTTTAGTAACCTATTGTTCAATATAATTTGGTACAATTTCATTATTTATTATTTGTATTAATTTTTCTGTCTGTATGCGATTGTCTGTGTAAAAAAATATGGGTTTTACTCTTGCTAGTTGGAATTTCTAATTGCAACAGAAAATTATACAAAACGGTAAAAATATATACAAAAATAATCTATCATGAAACATGAAGTAAATATTTGAAAACTCTAGGTGGCCAAAAAGATGGAAAATTCGTTACATTTTCCATAAAGAAAAATAAATTCTGATTGCAAAAGTCAGAAAACGATGGAAATTAGTCAGCACTATTAGGCAGGGCTCGTAAGTTATGATTTAAGTTATGGAAGCTTATAAAGGGCATGTAAGAACTCTAAACAAGCAGGATTTGTTTACCTTCTATATTTAATCAAACTACTGTAAAATATCTATATATCTATTCATTCTTCAAGATTTTAACAAACATAGCAAATATGCCAAATGTGTTTTAAAAAAATCTAAGAATTATGGGATTACATGATTTTGAAATTACTTCGTAAAAATGCTTCTTGTTAACCCAATTAATTTTCATTCATGTTTATTACTTTGTTAATACAGTCTAACTCCGCCATAATGAACACGAGATATAGTAAACACTACATCGTAGTGAACTCCCGTCAAAACTAACATATTGTTTCATATAAGATTATTGTGAAAAGCTGTGAAATGGGTTGTTAGTTTCTAGTGAACTTATTTCTTTCTTGCAATTATTTAATTAAATGATACCAAAATGTTAATGTGTGTGATAAGTTTAAGAGCATATAATTACGGCTTTTAATTAAAAATGAAGAAATACAAATCATAAAGTAGTGTGTAAAATAATTCTTTTCTTTTGGAATGAATAATGTAAGCAGTTCCATAAACAGGTTCTCTGATTGGGATGCCTGGTCATGCCATTGAGGCGTAATTATTATTTTTTCAGGATATTCAATTCGGTAATCTTTTCTGTTGTAGCTCCTTACCCAATTACAATAAACTTTCATTTTTAACAAATGTAATTTAATTTCCCGAGGAAGAAACTACCTCCTCATAATTTAAAGTCCAAATTAATTTTGTTATTAATTCAGCTTAATTTGTGGAGCAATTTATTTCAGCATACTTTCTGAAGATTTTATGAGTCTTTCATTTTTTATTTTATTTTACAACCGTCACTGAACAGCCGACCCAATTTTTGAGTTCACGACTGCTAATGTTCAACTCCGTAGCCTTGTCATTTTGAACCCAATCCAGAAGACAAGGGAACCAGTATTAGGGGAAATTTCCCTTCGTGGAGGACTTTTTGATGGAACTAAACCGCATTTGCGTTACATGGAAGACCACGACAACCTCCCACTGTTAGTCTGACTGCATGGGGAGTCTAACTCATGATCCATTTACCACTGAGGATATTTCACGTCAGTACTGGTTGGTACAATCCAGATGTGGAATTCGTATCAGTCAACCATCGCTGGGCTTCGACCCCGATTCACCTGATTGGAAGGCGAACGCTCTGTCCCCTGAGCCATCACGGTTCAAGTGTCATTCATTGTAAAAATTTTCGCAACTCAATATTTTTAAAATGTATTTTTTACTTGAATGTAGTTAAATCTTTCTTTATATAAGGGCTGAAACGACAACTGTTTTGAGATCAAATGGAAAATAACAGTGACTGTATATTTTTCTTACATGTGTGAAAAAAACTAGTTTTTTCATTATTCATTTGCAAGGATATATTTTACTTTTACAATGAATGATCCATTTATGACTCAATCCGAAATATAATGCATTCAACGTAAGATGTTTTAACTCCAGAAAGAGTTAAGATTCTAAAAATTCGCTAACGGGTCAACATGAGCCCCTAACATGAACTTCCTTAACATGGTTATTTGAAACTATCACCAAGAGAAATAAAAAGGCCATAGTTTAATTGTCTTACATTTGTAGCAAAGCTATAATTTTAAACTAGAGCCCATTTTGCTGCGAAGAATTATCTGGACTTTAGAGTAGACAAATATCCATAATATTTTAAGAGTTATGAAACTTTATAAAAATCGCCAATTTGACGGCATTTTTCCACCTAGATGAAAATTATCAAAATTAATGCCTTATTCTCAGTTTTTGCAAATTTTCATGAGAGCGGATAATCTAGCATTAGGATAAGTTATTAAATATTAAAAACAAATAAGGCCATAAACTCTTCATGTTTTCAAAGCCGTGGCTTTCCTCCATTTTAACGTTTAGAGCCATTTTTAGAATAAAACATAGTGCTGGCTAAAGATAAGCTAAACTTTACCTAACAGGCATGAGTAACTTTTGTAAACTCTCACCAGCTATGAAAATAGCATATTATTCAAGTATTATTGTACTGTAATATAGTTTATCAGTATTCTTACGGTGAACTAACTACAAATTTAGTCATCAGTTTTTATGTAAATAAAGATTAAGTACTGCAGTTTCTCATATATTCTGCACTATCTTGCGCAGAATAAATGCAAGACTAATGACTAACACTGGGGAGTAAATTGTTTATTGTATTGACACAAATGCTTCATCTTGCCTCACTCGGGTGTGGGGGGATTACAAATCTGAATTTTTTTTAAACTTTAGATTTGTTTTAAAAGGACATTTTTAGTCTATTTTTCTATGGAAATGCAGAAATTTTAAAAAATGTTATTTATAACACGGAGTCGTATAAAGGTCGCGACATACTTCTAGGAGAGTTAGAACACATAAACGGGATCAAAATAGCACAGAAAGCTTATGCTTGGAAATGTCATCGTGTGCGGCTAGGATCGCTTCCTTTTTATGACCTGTTGAGAAGTACACAAAGAGACAGTTCATGATGGAGAAGCGCCGCTAGAGGCTTATGACGACATTTCCGAACATGTATTCCTACGCACTTTTGAGACTGATGTGCCTCATCTGCGCTAGAAGTGTGTCGCAACATTTGCCCATATATATAACCCAATATATAACTTTTTTTTAAACTTGTGCATTTCGACAATTAATGGACAATGTCATTTAAAAAGCGAAGTTTGGAGAGAGAAACAGATTTCAGATTTTAAACTTGAAACAAGTGACGTGAAAATATCGGAAACGTTAAAAAATCACATGCAATGGAAAACAGAAAAAAAATTGTTCCTCAGTGTAATACACAATAAGAATAGGTTGCTTACAGCACTGTAGATGCTGCATGTTAATACTAAATCTCACTAAAACCATTTAACACTTGTTTTTTCCCCCCAGAGGATACCACAAAGCAATTGGAACAAGCATGGTACGCTCTTACTTTACATGCCAAGGCATTGTAATTACCTTTGCATTGATTTGTCTTGTGAGGACTTTTGGATATGTCTTGGTGAAGGATATCCATCTAAGGATGGCCCTCGTTGGATTCATTATTACAAATATAGTTTTCGTTGATCTCTTCAGAATATTTATCACAGCAGTTGGTGGAAATGCAGATAAAAGTGAAACAAATTCCGCTTCTGGGCCACCAGGTGAAGACACCAGAGCAGAACAGCCAACCGAAAAGGTAAGAAAACGAGAGAATTTTGCAATGACGTTACTTTTGACATGACCAGTGACTTTCGCAATGTGATCACATTTTAAACTTTGTTCCTAATCTAAATCAAATTTAGAATTTGCATATTTTATGATTTTTGAGAACTCCTGTGACAACTTTATAACACTGAATTTAACCAGTGTTTTGTAGTTTAATATTTAATTTTAGAATCCTCTTTAAAAAATAATGAAATAAAAGTGTTCATGATCAAAAACTTATTAAAATTAAAATTCGAACATGATTAGCTATAAGACTCGAAAGCATTGCAATGTTACCGCAAAAAAAAAGTTAACAAATCCTCAGTATCTAAAAAAAGTACGATAAAAATATGGGATAATCTAAAGACAGTATTAAAACATTACTAAATTCGTAAGCTTGGATTATTACGATCTTAGACGTTGGCAATTAATGGAAAATTTTATGACAAAACAATATATAAAACAAAATACTCTCAATTGAGTAAAAATAATTCATTTAAAAACGAACTTAAAAACTTAAAATTTTATTCAAACATTATTCTTGCCCATTCTACAGCAAATAGTTTGTTTTCTCACTATCGCCCTCACAGAAACTACATGTGAGTTTTAGATTGCTTTTGGTTGATTCCACCCACTGCTTTTAAAACAGGAGTGCCACAGGTTAGGGACCCCTTTTCTGCACATGAGATTCCCAGAAGGAGTTCCGCGGAACCCTAAAGTGTCATGGAAGGGTCATAGGTCGTGCAAGGATTCCGAGAGTTCACTTTTCTTTTTCAAAGCAGTTTTTAATTCTTAAACCTCTTATTATATTCATATCCAATCAACCAACATAACTACTCAACTATTTAATATTTTGGGTCATATTTTCATAATTATTTAAGCAAAATTTTTGCAAACAAATAGTATTTCCTAAAGTTTCTAATGAAAATATAAGTAATAAATTAAGGAAAAAGATTAGCATTTATAAAAAATTTGTATTAATATTTTCAATCAAACTTTTCAATTCAAAGAGAATAACAAAATTCAACAATAAAGAATCGTTTCTTCGAAAAACCATTTTCCACATTTGAGTTCATTCAACGTTCGTAGTTTTAATTTAAACAGAAATCATAATCCAGCTTTTTTTAAAATTCCATTTCAACTTACTCATATACCAAAAATAAATTCTGAACTACTTAACACTCCAGACTAGTTACTTAAACAGTCTGAAATAAAATCCAGTTTTAAGACTATTGATAAAACGTTGAAATGACATTAAAATTTTCAAAATTATTTATTCTGTTCCCTTGTTTGGATTATGAAATTTATTTTCGGGATTCTGTCAATCATTTAGGATTACTTAGACGGGGCAAAAAATTGGAACCGCTGGTATACTCATGAGGCATCGTAAATTTAACATTTAAGGCTGTTTTTCAAAGACTCTGTCGTCAAATGAAAAAGCTCTTTTGCAAATAATCTGCTGTTCTCATAACTGATGCGAATTTGCAACGACTGTTTTTGTGACTGTTAAGCCTGTTTTTCGTATCTGTTCAGAGTATATCTGTTATATATATCAGGGACAATGTTGGACTAGGATTTATCATTCATGACAAGATTTGCTTTCACTTTGTTTTCCTTCAGCTCAAAGAAGGAATTTATTTAACTTTTGTTTCGTTCTTTTGTTTGTAGTGTTTTGCTAGTTTTGCAGCTACGCGGTTCTCTGGAGACTCTCTCCCTTTTTAATTTTCTTTCTTGTTTCTGCTGCAGATGTAGTTTATAGCAGTTTAATTGCTATCTGGAGTTTATCTTCCGTATTTTGCTTGGAGTTTGAGCACTACAAAAATTTGCATTTTGTAAAATAAAGAGTAACCTTTTAAAGAAATAGCACAATGGCAAAATATTATAGAAACCGTTAGTCCTTCCCAACAGAATCAACATCTCTAAATTCTTTACTTCAAAATTATTTCTTCAAATTCAAATGCTTGGAATGTAATGAGTAGAGAGCGTTTTGAAGTAAAACACTGTTTCCATCTAGGTAAAATACATTGTACTCTTATCCAGTTTAAACCTGTAAAGAAATGATTTGGAAACAATGCTAAGGAACAGCTTGATGTGAAAATCTAACTGTAGGAAAAACTGATCACGACATTGACCAAAGCTGATCAAATGTCTTCCCCCCTCTGTTTTAAAAAATGGATTGAGCTAGTTAAGAAACAACTCTTGTGATTTATACCAAATAAACCTGATTTGATTCATTTGATGTGTGTTAATTGTTACTTAAGTTTCCGCGAAAGTGTAAATATCTGGTATTTTACAGATAGTGTGTAATGTTCAGATTAACTGGGGTTGTTAGAAATTAAATTTTTAAACTTTTTCAAAGCTTCGTATAAACAATATTGCAGCCAAGAAGAAAATCTTGAAAAAAAAAAGAAGCAAGTCGCTCAAAGCTGCTTTATTTTAAATTACGGGGACCGTTAATACGCATATTAGCCTAGTAAAATTTGGAAAACGCTTTAATGGATTACCATATCTAGGCTGCAGATTACCTAAGCAATTTGCGTTTTAGCTTCTTTCGAGCTTTAGTGGTAACACTTATATTGAACCAATCACTGTTTAACTTTCCTCTTTTTCTCCAATAGGAAACTGGTGACTGGTGGTTCGCGGATGAAATGAGACAGCTAAATAGCATACTAACAAGTCTTTCCCTCAGTTGTTTAACCTTCTCAGTTGTGATGGGTGCAGCTTCTACTTTTGTTTCTGCTCAAGAGATTCAGTGGATGGCACAAGCATTTTCCGTCTCAAATCTTATATGTTCTGTTTCACTTGTACTATTCATGAAAGCTCGTCCTGTCCAAACATGAAATTAAAATGTTTGATGTCTGCTGAAAAAAGTGACTTTACTTTCATGAGGAATGCAAATGTTTTGTTTTAGTGTTTATTAAACTAGATTTTTCAGATTTTCTAGTCTATTTATTTGACAAATCACATTGATTAGTCTAAACTGAGTATTAGTCCAAGCTGAAGAAAATATCTTAAAGGGCAGTCACGAATCACTGATTCAAGACCTGCTTTGCTCTGACGCACTGAGTGAATTCAGTGATAAAAAGGAACACGTTCTGGTTTCACCGTCGGATTTGACAACGAAAGCACCCCGACCCATAATTAACTATCCATAATTTAAACACTGCAGGCGAAGACTGTTTTAGAGTTTTTTTTAAAAAAATTATTAATTTCATTACCTGAAAAGGATAAAGAAAATGCTTGAATTTTAATAGTCAGTTCAATTTTACTTCAACTGACAAAATTTTCGAAAACTGATGTTATTCACCTGATAATATTTAGCTTTTTAAAATTAAAAGTAATAAAACGCACTTCTGTAATGTTCAAACATTTTGGATTCGGAATTTGAAAACTTTTCTTACACCAAAGCCATTTTTTAAAATTTTGAAGAAAAGAAATCAAATGAGAAAGAAACTCAACTAACACTAGAAAACTATTGAAGTAAAATCAAGAACATAGCACCAATATGGCTAGTCCTTTTTTCTTAACTCATAAAGTGTCATTCAGAGTTTGTCGGCTAGAAAACAAAATTTATCTTCTCGCAATAAAGGTACCCGGTTTTTCACCACCACCGGGTCTTTCCCAAAACTTTCTTATATATTTGTTCACTTTTTGGTCATTATACTAAAGTCACAAAACTCAAATAAGATATTTTCATGACATAAAATTTTCCAAAAAATTACTTAAATCAAAATTCATACATTTCTAATAATTTTTATTTGTAATTAAAAACTTTGACCCGCAAGGATAAATTCAATTGTATTTATACATAGGCAATCATTTCGCAAAGACATAAGAACGGAAAAAATGATTTTGAGTGATAAAATTGTCCCAAATGTGATACAATATATTACATGCTTGTTACCAGGAAGATATAGTAAGATCTCGATATTTTTCTAAGAATATTTTCTGATATTTTTGAAACAGTTTTTTTTGGAAGATAAAGTAAAACAAAGAAAAGGTTGGTGTCTTTTTTTTTTTATTATGCATACAATAGAATTTTTCTATTCCCAAATTCCCCCATTTTCATTTTTTTTTCTAGTCCCGCAGTGAACTGATCGTTAAGACACGGTTCCCAGCAGATCACCGAAGTCAAGCATCACTGGCTGCGGTCAGTGTGCGGGTGGGTGACCACTTGGATCAGTCTGCGTAGGGACCGAGGGTGTGCGGTATTGGTCATCGTTAAACTGTGCTACCGTAAAGTGCTCGACTTCGCGCGCAGTTCGTCGGGCTATCGAAGCGGGGGTGCCATCCCCTCCGCAGAGGATCAAAATTGTGATCGGAACATCCTCCGGGATGTTTTCCAAAACCGTCGCCAATAGACCACTGTGCAGCTCTAGTGCGGCGTAAATTAACAACAACAATAACATTTTTTTCTGTTGGGATATTTTTATATATTTTAATTGCAAAACAGTATAAGCCTAGACGACAAAATAAGCGAACAGCAAAATGCTAATTATCAATCAAGCCTCCCAGAGCCAGAAATAGATTCAATAAAATATCTTCATGTGTTCACATCATGAAAATTATCAAGTCCACCAAGTTCGTTAAGACAAACACCTCCTAGATAAGAGCAGGCCTCAGCACGGGTTACCATAAATATCCTTTAGTAGTTTAAACGTAATGACATATTTCGTTCTCAACCACTGCGCAGCTTAGTACCCTTAACGAAATGACATCTTTCTTATTTTTCATCAACTGCGCAGTTAACTTCGTCACATCGGACTTCTAAATTGATCCGTGCTGAGGCCTTCCTTCTTCTAGGAGGTGTTGTTAAGACACGTTTCGCTGCAGACCACCGAAGTCAAGCATCACTGGCTGTGGTCAGTGTGCGGGTGGGTGACCACTTGGATTAATCTGCATAGGACCGAGGGTGTGAGGTATTGGCCCTCGTTAAACTGTTCTACCGTAAAGTGCTCGACTTCGCATGCAGGGTCGGGCTGCCGAAGCGGGGGTGCCATCCCCTCTACAGAGGATCAAAATTGTGATGACATGTCTTTGGATCATCCACAGGGATGTTTCCCAGACCGTCGCCAATAGCCCATTGTGCAGCTCTAGTGCGACGTAAATCAACTACTACTACTACTCAAGTCAAATCAAATGATGAAAGAAGGCTTTTTTAGAACAAATTTGTTTGGGGGTGCATCTGTCCTTGTGGCTATATAACGCCGTTTTATAATTCAAAGATAACTGTAGAAAAATACGTGTATTACTGTCATATTAGGATAACTTTCAGTAAATGGGTAATTTTTTTTTATTTTTGGTATTATAGTCTTATCATTGAATAGAAGTATAATTGGCCACGGTTACAAAGAAAACATAATTTTCTCAGAAATGTAGGGTTTGTAGTTATATCCCGATATTTCTGATATAATAGTATTTTATCCTTATTTGCTTTGATTTTTAGCTTTTTGTTCTGATATTCCTGATTTTTGCCCCTATATTTTCTAAAAATACAAACATAGATCTTAGAAAAATAAAATTCCAGAATCGAATAATTTGGATTTTTGATTCAACATCTTTTAATTTTAATTTATAATGCTCGTAAAAATAGCAAATTCGAGCTTTCCAATTTAGGCCTACTAATTTTAAATATGGTTCAGGCATATAATCATACCATATCGTTTCTCTTTTTTTTCCACAGTCATTTTATAAAATCTGTCAATTAAAAATTTTACATAATCAAATTTTTATGGCGATGGTTAATATAGATATTCATTATTTTAAGCAAGAGCAGTAATAAATCTTATAATGTAGAGTTTCATGGTTTCACAATTATTTACTTATTTACTTTATTTTATCATCGTCGTTGAACAATCGAAGCAATTTTATGTTTAAAACTACCAATGTTCAACTACGTAGCCTCGTAATTTTGAACCCAATCCAGAAGACAAGAGGACTCCTGGATCAAGTACTGGGAGTAATTTGTCTTCGGGGAGGACTTTTTGATAGAACTAACCAGCATTTACGTTACGTTAAGAGGAAAATCACCCACGATTAGCCAAATGGCAAGGGGGTTCTAACCTATGATCCGTTCACCACTGAGGATATTTCATGGGTGCAGGATTCGTATCGACCAGTCATAGTTGGGATTCGAACCCAGTCCACCTCAGTAGAAGGCAAGCGCTCTATTCCCTGAGCCAACACGGCTCAAAAAAGACTGATTAAAAAAGTTAATTTCGATAATTAGTTCTAAAATTATTAGCTATTAATTTTGCAGTATAGAAATACCATTCGGCTCTTTTTGGAACCCTTTTTTCCCTTGAAATAATAATTATTTATCGGTGGTCAAAAAAAAAAGAAGGAAAAAAAGGAGAAAGAGAAAAGATGATTTGACATCTAAACATTTATATCGAAATTTTTAAAAACATAAAACTTAATTCAAGAGTTCAAAAGATAGGTCAACACCTATTTAAATTTAAGTAATTATATAAGGTTATTGTCATGCAAATTTTTTATTGCTATTGGTTTCAATGCAAAGTTTGTTATTGTATTGTTTTGGTATTGTTATTAAACGTTTATTATACGAGTAAATGGTGATTGGTGCGCATTAAATCTGTCTCGTCACAATGTTATCCATTTTCCCATAGCAAATCAATACCTCTAGGGGTACTGGATTGGAGATCGATCGTTCTCTGATTCAGGTCAAAATTACGATCTGTGGACGAGTTGTACTTGTAGTTTATACGTCGCACTAGATCTGCAACAATGAGCTATTAGCGACTGTTTGGAAACATCCTGAGAATGATCCGAAGACATGCCATCGCAATTTCAATCCTCTGCAGAGGGGATGGCACCGCCTCTTCGGTAACCCGATGACCTGCACGCGAAGTTGAGCACTTTAGCGTAGAATAGTTTAACGAGGATCAATACCGCACACCCTCGATTCCTGTGTGGACTTATCCACCCGCACACTGACCGCAGACGTGATGCTTGACTTCGGTGATCTGCTGGAAACCGTGTCTTAACGATCAGTCCAACTGCGGGACGATCTGTGGACGAATGTATCGATGCATGAATGGGTCTTCTCTTTAAGCGGATGTGACATATGGATGGGGTAGAAGCCGAATTGTCGGTCATAGAGGGCGCCACCGGAAAACAAGAACAACATTTAAAGTGTTATAACGATATGACTCTTTCCAACGAGTAAAATGTTACACATTCTGTATTCTTGGGTTTAAATTGTGTTTAACATTCAATTAGATATTTTTCTGAGCCGAGTAATTGATTTCGATGCGATTATATAAAAAATGTTACATTGGATAATTTTGAATTTCCATTTGCAAAATTTCAAATGTTTTTGTGTAAAATATAGACTTTTAAATAAAAAAAATTATGACTGTAAGGCCAAGATGCGGGTTGTTGAGCGAAACGAACAGAGGGCAGAGCCATCGAGCAATTTTAAAAATATAAATTTTAAATTTGGCAATAAGCAATCTTTTTTTTTTAGTTACTTTCTATAAAAACTCAAAAATGAGATTATAAAAAGATCATGATCTAGATAACTTCCCTTAACGATATTTAAATAGACATTTAAAGCAGGAAAGGGTGTTCGAAAATTCACCTTGTTAAAAAAAGCAATAACAAATTAGAATTTTTAAAATATTCTCGAATAAAAATTTCATTTCTATATGTTAAATTTCAATTCTGTAGTATCATTTCTATGAACATCATGGTGGTCTGCACAGCATTTTTTACTATAGGTTTATCAAGTAACAATTCTTGCACTTTCGTACTTCCTGTACATTTTTTAAACAATTTTGTAATTTCAGGTTTTTAAGTAGGTTTTTTTTTTTTTTTTTTTTTTTGTAGAAAAGTAAAATGTAACGTTAAGACGTCTCACAGACCTTAAAACTGGAAAAAATGAAGTAAAACAATTTGTAGTTGGTTTTTGGAAGGAAGTTAAATCAGCTAATTGTTTTCAATTCATCACTCGCAATTGTCTCATGAAACAGTCCTAAATGTAAGTTTAAAAAACAACTTTGTGTTGCAGGTAGACAAGTTAGAATGAAATAATTTTCTTACCAGCATCTCATTTTTAGTCTTGATATCTGTTTAACTCTTATGTTTTAATACAGAGAGATTAAATAATAAGTATTTTACAAATTAGTGTATGCAGCTAAATAAGTGATCTAAAACTGTAGGTAAGTATCTTAATTATGTATCATTTACACAAGACTCCTACAAAATCATTTTTTCTTTTGCTCTTCGTGGATGCTAATTGCCCTTGGAATTTACCTTCAAAGTTTGATTGATATAGTAACTGTTTTGCTTGATAGTCTTCAACTAAAACTAAAAATGGCTTTTATTAAAATAAAGATACAGAAATTGTGTGAAATGTGCGTTTTTAAAATACAATCCTATTTACATTTTTCTTAAAATTTCAATTAATATAATTTGTAAATTCATGGTTGACCCTACTCAGCTGGTTGATCCTCCTCAGCTGGTTCATCTTCGGCTGGTTGATGCACTCTCGGGACATCTGCCATTACGTCAGCATTTCCGTTTCCAATAAAATCTACACCTACTAGATTCACAGGAGCATTCGGAACAGGATTTCCAGGAGCGACATCTGCAAGATTCGCAAGAGCGTCAGGAGGATGATTCGCTAGTGCGTTCCTTTGAGCATTTGCATTTCTCGGATTTAAACAGCACCAAACGGCAGTAATGACAACTGCAAGAATAAAGGTTACAACTGCAAACACACCGCATAATATTCGATTAACAGAATGTTTTATACCAGCTGCTGTAGCAGCTAAGAGGAATGCGATAATATATGAAGAAAGTGTTGCAGCAGCAAATGCAAAATCTTTCAAAACCATGGCTGTTTAGATTTTAATTAGCGAAATATCCTAGAAAAAAAAAGCACAAGAATGAGTTTTTTTTTCACAAAAAAGAAATGGAAAAGTATACAGCAACAGCCCGTTGAGGGCCAGGGAGGTCATGGAAAATTGCGGTTCGAAGGCTTGACATCGAAGCCTTGACAGTGGCAATGTTGCCAATATTTTACACATGCAACCTTTCAATCTTGGATGCACATCGATCTGAAGCTGGGTACGTTTCAAGCCGCAACCGGGGATCAAACCTGAGTTCTTTATAATAAGAGTGCCTTAACAACTGAGCCACTTAACCGTGTTGTTAAACATTTTTTTACGGTGCTTCCCTTCCAGAGCTTTTTGTTTTCATTTCGATTATACCTGTAGAAGATGCTAATCAATTTACTTTTTAGAATACTAAGAACTAAATTTATTACTAACAGTTTTTAAACTTCGATTTATCTTAAAAATTTATGCTTTAACTAGACTCAAAAATTTAAGTTTTAACTTAAGCTTTTCTCTCTCTGCACTCTTCCCCTCATTGGTTACTATGGTTTTCCATACGGCAGTATGTTTCAGTACCAAAGTACCAGGGTCAGTATTGAAACTAAATTTGCATAATTTTAATTATATACAGAGATGAAGAACAAATTACGAAAAAGATCCCGATAAAACTGCAAAATGCCTGGAAAAGGTTATAATGCACATTCACGAGGTTTTATACGATTCACGATATTTTTTTTTTTATAATTGAGGAAATTAGTGAATGTTAAGTCTGCTTTATTTGCGATAATTAACCAAAAGTATGAATGACTGCTTCATTATCAGCTGTAGAATCATTTCGAACTGTACTCCAGTTTTAATATTTTTAACAGGAGGAAGGAAAATGTATCCTTAGTTATTTACTATACGATTTTATTAACTTATTTTAGTGTTTGTAAAACTTTAATCTTGTAACGACGATTTTCCGACTAACTGGAGCAATTAGAGTTCCAATAGTTTTCTTACCGCTGAAAAAAGAATTTAATATTAGTATTGAAAAAATTCCGACCAATATTAGGTTAGGTAAAAACTTCAATGTTTATTTTCATAGATATGCGCCTGCGACTCTGCAAATTTTATTTGCTTGTCAATAAATACCAGTAAAACGTAGACAAACAGAATGAAAAAATGTTTATGAATTTTTTAATGAGTTTAGACACCAATGAATTTGATTTTTTAAAATTAATATGGGGAAAATTTTAAATCTTTCTAGGGGAAAAAAATTAAATTGTAGTACTAATACCATTTCTAATTTTGCCTGCTTGAATTAAAATCCACTGTATTCCAGTTAAAAATAGAATTAAAGATAAAAAACATGCAATTTTGAATGGCTAATAAGATAATTTTAAAATTCATATTATTTGTTTTATGTTAAATTTACAGCTGGATGTTTAATTTTTCCTTTATCATTGTTAGATTTTAGGCAATATTATTATGTATTACACAAAATACCGATTTCTAAAGCTGCTAATTATTTTACATGATAATAACTCAGTTACTTCAGTTTTTTAAAATGCAATCGCTTATTATTTATCGGATAAAAATTTTTAAAATATTTCCCAAAAATACAATTCTGGGATTGTTTACCAATTTTGATCCAAAATTCAATTAGCAAGTTAGAAGAATGAAGACAAAAAAAGTAAGACATACTAAAGCATTAGAAATTTAAAAGAAAACAGTAAGTTTTTTTTTTTAAATTGTAACTTGAAAATAACACTTCAATTTAATATAAGAACTGAAAATGATTAAAAATTACCTTATCAACTGAGTCAACAGAAATATGAAGTCAGCAATGAGAAAACCAAGAAAGGAAACCAAACCAATTACTCAAACATGCTTCGATTCAAAATGCTGGGTATCGTAACTGATTATGTAACTAAAATAATGCTAAACAGGTTGAGTTGAGTTGAGTTGATGATTAGAAACAGGACCATGTGACTCACCTTTATCTTCTGTCATTACGAAATGGATATGTTTGTAAAGATACAGTTCCCAGTAGAACAATGAAGTGTCCCGCAGTGGACTGATCGTTAAGACACGGTTCCCAGCAGATCACCGAAGTCAAGCATCACTGGCTGCGGTCAGTGTGGGGGTGCCATCCCCTCCGCAGAGGATCAAAATTGTGATGGCATGTCTTCGGATCATCCTCCGGGATGTTTCCCAGACCGTCGCCAATAGCCCATTGTGCAGCTCTAGTGCGACGTAAATTAACAACAATAACAACAACAACAGAACAATGAAGTCAAGCATCACTGCCTGCGGGTCAGTAAGCGGGTGGGTGACCACTTTGGTCAGCCAGCGTAGGGATCTAGGGTGTGCGGTATCGGTTCTGGTTTAACTGCTCTACCGTGAAGTGCTCGACTTCGCGCGCAGTTTGTCGGGCTACCAAAGCAGGGGAGCCATCCCCTCTGCAGAGGATCAAAATTGCGATGTCATGTCTTCAGATCTTCCTCAAGGGTGTTTCTCAGACCGTCGCCAATAGCCCATTGTGCAGCTCTAGAGGGACGCCTACCTTATCCTCTGTCTCTATAGAGTTTTGGAACTTCATCAGATATCTTATGACTCTTCTGTCATTATAATATAAGCATACATCAAGAGGTCACCCTGGTCGAATGATATTCCGCCAAACGCCTTGTTATAGTTAGGTAGCGGGTTCGAATCCCACATGTAAACCTGAATATATTTTTGTGCTGTTCTTCTCGAATTTTATTGGTTTCACATGCCGCTCCTTGCATTCATAAGAATTTGAACGTTGCTCTACCCTAGAATTGAGGTTGGTTTTGTATCATTGAATGTATCTTCAGGATGTATTTCACCAGTTATGCTTTTAGATTTTTGATAATTGAACATTTTTACGAGATATTTGACTGTATTCATATTTTTGGGGCAACTTGGTATATAAATGTAAAGCTTGGATGTAATAAAAATTCTGCAAATACTTTAAAATCGTAACCAATTAAATAATTTTCATTACAAATAAGGTATCAATTTCTTTTTGCTCAAAATGTAAATTGTGCCTAAGACAGAGGGTCTTCATTTTTTCCAACTGCGCTGTTAAAGGAACATTGGACGTTGAGAATGAAAACAATTCTTAAAAAAATAAGTTTTTTGGTGTCCCGCAGCGCATTAATCGAAAAAACAATCGTAAAAAACACCAAAATTAAGTATCACTTGCTGCTGTTAGTAAGCTGGTGGGTGAGCACTTTGATCACCCTGCGTAAGGACAGAGGGTGCGGGGTATCGGTCCTCGTTAAACTATTCTACCTTAAAGTGCTCGACTTCGCAAGCAGGTCGTCGGGCTACCACAGTCTCCACTTGCGTAGAGGATCAAAATTGCGAAGGGTCTACGGATCATCCCTGTTTCCCAGACCGTCGCCCATTTTGCTGATCTAGTGTGACTTAAATAAAGTACCTACCAACCATTTTTCGTTTCTTGAGATATTAAAAAAATATATCACGTTTTGCTTAGTAATATAAAACCAATCATGTTCAAAACGGAGTTTTCCTTGTTAAAAAAATTAAATTTGAAGATTTATATATATTATTTGTTTTAATCATTAACTGTTTNCTTTCTCTGAATTGTTCTATCTGTATTTTCTACTTGACAATGACTTATAAGCCTATGTTGAGCAGTATGTAATTTCAATAAATCAAATCAACCATTTTTCAGTTCTTGAGATATTAAAAAAATATATCACGTTTTGCTCAGTAATATAAAACCAATCATGTTCAAAACGGAGTTTTCCTTATCGAGTTAAAAAAATTAAATTTGAAGATTTATATATATTATTTGTTGTAATCATTAACTGTTTAAATTAGGTCGACAATGTGCTTTTATTAAAATCTAAAAATATCTTTCCCTGAATTTCGATTTCTTTCTTTCAATTTTTCGATTATTTTTCAATGCGTTTCATTTTCCAGCCATTTTTAGGATATTTATCCTTTTTCCGGGAAATTTTTTGTATTGATTCTTATAATCACTATAATTCTTTTTTTTTATTTTTAATTTCGTGTTTATACAGCTATCATATTGGGTTTAGTTAAAGTAGTTTTCAGCATCAGATTCCTGACTTTGTATGTCCTTAATCTAAGCTTAAACGTGTCTTTAATGAACATATTTCTCTATTTCAAAAAGTGTCCACTTTTCTAAAATTTCCCCGAATTAAAATTCTGATACGTCGTGCCTAAACTAGTTTTTTCATTTTGATTATTAAGAACTGATTGAATACAGGGATTTTCAAAACTATAACTATTTTTATGAATAGTTTTAAGGTTAGTATAAATGTGCTATCCGCCACTGGATATTCGGTAAAAGTAGCCAGGTCCGGCAGTGAAATTATAATGAAAATTTGGTCGGGTACCAGGTAATTGCCGAGTACCCAGTACATCCCAAGAAGACATTTCTTAAAATTATTTACACTTATAGTTTTAGATTTCTAATACATTATTGCCTATTTCTCTAGGTAATAGGGCCATTTTCTCACTCTTCGGACATCCTTTTCCTTTATAAATAAAAGTTGAATTTGAAAAGAATTTCATGAAAAAAAAGTTAAAAGGATGAAAGACACAGTTTAGAGTCTCGCGTACAAAAGTGCATTGCGCTACCTTTATTTTCTAGTACATAAATAACTTCTTCGAGTGCCATTCATTAAAGAGTACCTTATACACCGAATAGGAGCTGTAATTTTTTCTATAAATAGAAGTCGAAAGATTTTAATGAAAAAATAAATAAACTTGTAAGAATTTAATTCATTTCAGAATTTAATCTTAAAATTCGGACCGGGATAGCCTGGTCGGTAGGGGACTGGGCGCATGTCCGAGAGTTCAAACCCCGCCGGCCGAAGACTCCCCGTGTAGTAAATGGTGACTGATGCATGTTAAATCTGTCGAGTTGCAAAGTCCTACATGTTCCTGTAACAAATCTTAACCTCTGGGGGTACTGGATTGGAGATAGATCGTTCTCTGATTCAGGTCAAAATTACGATCTGTGGATGAATGAATGGGTCCACCCTATAAACGGGTGTGATGTATGGGTGTGGCAGAAGTCGAATTCTTGGCCATAGATGGCGCCACTGGAAAGCAAGAACAATCGCACCCCTCTGCTTTAACAGGCATACGAGAGAAAGAGAGAATCTTAAAATTATGCATGGCAAAACGTATATTTTTAGGATAAAAATAATTTCTGCGAGAGTCATTTTCTAATATGGCATATTTTAGGATAAAAATAATTTCTGCGAGAGTCATTTTCTAATATGGCATAGTGCACATTGCATTCCTACTATAATTTTATCTTATATAAGTCGAAATTCGATATATTTCGATGGTAAAGTGACACAAATTGTAACCATAAAAGAAAAGAACATTTCAGAAATCTGCACCATAAAACATTATATTGTTTTGGATGTAATTTCTACGAGTATCATTTTCTAAAATGGTATCGCGCACATCACATTAAAACTATAATTTTACCTTCAATTGTTTGTCGAAATTCGAGAGATTTTAATGAAAAACTGACTAAAATTGTAACCATAAAAGAAAAGAACATTTCAGAATTCAATTTCAGAAATCTGCACCATAAAACATAAATTTTTTTGGATGTAATTTCTACGAGTATCATTTCCTAAAATGGTATCGCGCACATTACATTAAAACTATAATTTTACCTTGAATTGTTTGTCGAAATTCGAGAGATTTTAATGAAAAAGTGACACAAATTGTTACCATAAAAGAAAAGAACATTTCAGAATTCAATTTCAGAAATCTGCACCATAAAACATATATTTTTTTGGATGTAATTTCTACGAGTATCATTTTCTAAAATGGTATCGCGCACATACATTAAAACTATAATTTTACCTTCAATTGTTTGTCGAAATTCGAGAGATTTTAATGAAAAAGTGACACAAATTGTAACCATAAAATAAAAGAACATTTCAGAATTTAATCTCAGAAATCAGGACCGTGGATTGCATTTTCCTGGAAAAGTAACTGAAATTTCAAACACAATTGATATCATCAATTGGTATCCTAAAACCCATATTTTGAAGACAAAAATAATTCCTACCAGTGAAAATGACGTCATTGTGAATGAATAAATAATATAATCACTTTACAATCGAAAATTGAAATAGATATGTGACTGATTCTATGTAAAGAAACTAAAAAAGTAATACACGCATAGGATAAATGACTTAACAGGATTAAGAGCAAATTAATAGAAAAAAATTGAAATTAAAATAATAAAATATTAATTGAATAAAAACAAGAAAGGAAATAATTTTTTTTTAAAAATATGTTTATTTCAAAAAATTTCAGGTCTTGTTATGTCAAAATATAATTTTGTATACTTTTAACAAGTCTCAAAACAAAGTTTGAATTAATGACAACACATTATTTTTCACAAAAATATACTATGGATGAAAGATATCTAACAACAAAAAAGTAATCAATAAATAATAATGAATCAAAACAATATGGCAGTTCAAAGCTATTTGTTTACAATGTATACAAAAAAAGAAATACATTTTAAGATTTGAACATTAATTATAACATAATACTTTATATTACAGATGCTAGGAAATATCTTTATAAAAACTTCAAAGCAACATATGCTAAATGGCAGTTTAAACATAATTTAGTTTTTAATTCGAAGTTGACAAATTTTGGAGAAACAGATCTGTATTATTATGCTTAATTTGTTTCAATAACTTAATTATTAATTAGAAAAAATAAAGTATTTCAGAAAGTTTGTTGTGGGCCAGGGAGGTTAACACGCCACAATTTTAAAGACCAACAGCATGAGTGCAGCAATGTGGTCAGCATTACGCCAAACCGCCGGATAAGCTGCTAAACTTCACTTCACTACTTTTAAAGAAAGGTTTGAATCAGTTATGAAAGCATAAAAAATTAAAAATTCATAAGGTATAAAAAGTTACTGCGATCTGTTTCTTCGGTTCAGAGCTTTTGCTTTGTGAGACTAGCACTGCCAAATGACTATTATTTAGCTTAAGATTTAGATTTTATTTTTAAGTTTTGTTTTAGTTATCTTAGAGTATCAGTTGGTTCAGTTTTTCGTTTTTTATTACAAGTTACAGATAAAAAAGATTTTAATTTACTTATTTCCTTGAGACAGATAAGTTCAAGTGGCAAGACCACAAAATTTAGTCTTTATCCGACACTTATCTTGGACTGACTTGGACTTCAAGTAATCCTAGATATTTCGGGTTCGGACCCTCAAAAGCGAGCCTGAACTCATCTCTAGTGCCAATAGATCAGAAACTGCATAGACTTCAAGCCGTCACTAGGGATTGGAACCCAGTTCTTCACAATGACAGTTCAGTGCCTTAGCCATCACGGTTCCTAATTTTAATTTATTATAATAATATTTTGGTTAATTAAGATAATAAAGAAGTTATTGTAACATCTGAAAGATTATGACTATTTACTATTCTTCTCAAACTATTTAATATTTCATCACATAAATTTCAAAGAGTAAACATAACTAATTAATAAAGATAGCAAACACACAGTGTAACAAATGATATTGCTTTTATTAGTGAACAACGATAATTAAAAACAGGGAATTACTTATTGCTTCCACTTCAGCTTGATTGTATCAAAATGATAAATTAATTAGGATAATGCTTAGAAATAGTACAGTTTAATGTTGATGGTATAAAAATATAATATTTCATTCACATTTATACTAATATAGTGATATAACTCAGCATATAAAACGGCAATGAAATTTTGACATTGAGTTTTATGTTGATTTTGAAGACTGTAATATATATAGCTAGCCCTACTATGCTTAAAAGTTTTCACTGAAATAGAGGGAGGTATATTGAAAACTATACGAATGGAATTAAGAAAGTATATATGTGCAGTTTAAAAGACATACTAAAATTATTACTGTTGTTTAGTCTAATGCTGATTAAAAGAATTCATCTGGATCAAAAATTTTATTCATTAAATTGGAGTTATTCAAAAAGATGGGATTAAAACAAAAGAAATTTTTACTTTTTGGAACAGCCTCTATATGCAGGGACACAAAGATCTGGAGGCTAACAAGGTAGATGATAACAAGGTCTAGTGTCTAAAGCACACTTGTGCAAATGCAATTTTCAGAAGAAAAAAAATGACTTAGTTTTTGGAGAATTGATGGAACATAGATAAATAGAGAAATGAATTTTACTTTTTTTTTATATTCATAAACTTATCTAAAGATGTCAAAATGCCTAAAATAAATCTATTTAAACAAAAATCAAATTTTATCAAAAAGAGCGAAAAAAATTTTTTTTGACTGATGGAATAATTCGTCAATTTGGGGTCTATTATTCCAAAATGTCCAAAGTAAATTTGTTTAAACAAAAATTATTTTTTTTTAAAAACAGAGCCAAAATATTATTTTTTGACTGATGGAATAATTAGACAATTCGGGATCAATTATTCCAAAATGCCCAAAGTAAATTTGTTTAAACAAAAATTAATTTTTTTTAAAAAAAGAGCCAAAAATTAAATTTTTGACTGAGGGAATAATTAGTCAATCAAGATCTATTATTTGTTAAATAGGGTTTTTACCATCATTTTTATTGATGAGAAAAAATTTTTGTTTGATCGCGATATTCGTTAAATAGGGCTGAGCTGTATTAATATCTCGGTTATTCAAAAACAATTAATGACTGTAGATCAATTTTAACTTTGTCATTTTTTAAATTTTGTAACAGTAACATTTTTGATTGAACTTTAAAAACTTCACAAACTTCAAAAACACCAACAATATCACAACCTATTTCCTCAAATATACAAACTTAAAGCATTATAAATATAACAACATTTTAATAGGTATACATCCAGACTCTTGAAAAAACAACAAGGATATTGAATTTGTAATTGAAAGATAATACAAAAGAAATGAAAGAGAATAATCAAAAGAAAAATTACTTTATAAAGCACATTAGAAACAAATAGTATGAATTATAATTAAAATATGTAATAAGAAATACTAAAAACATAATTTAAACTAAAATTTTCCTGCAGTGAGCAAATATTTTAGAATGAAATTACTTCTTTTTCCAAATAGTAATCAGATACATCTTTTATAAAGAAAAAAAAATCTAAGATTCACGGTATAATTAATTTTACATACATAGTAGGTTGGAAAAATAATGACCATAGTCAAGAAGAAACTGTTTGAGGTAAAAGAATAACTGAAAGAAATAAGGTATGCTTTTGTAGTTTTGATTGATTTTAGTTTCTGATAGATGTAATGTTTCTACGGCTCTTGATGTATGATTTTCATCTAGAACTGTAGGAATATTCATTAAAAAAATTTGGTTTCACAAAATCTGAGTTTTTATATATATTTTTAATCAAGTATGTACTTATATTATTACTTGATTAATAAACTTCATTGTCTTCAAAAATATAGATGCAAAATAACAGTTAATGTGCTTCAAGTGCTCAAAAGTAGCCACCCATTTTTGAGACTTGCCAGGCGTGAATGAGAAGAAACAAAAGTGATATAAAATATAAAACATAAAAATGTCCAGCAAGAAATTCAAAATAAAGGAGAGAAACAAAACTAGAAAAACATCAGTAGCCAAGAAAGAATAAAAATGGAAAAAAAAATAACATTGTGGCTGTGAAGGGAAAAATCAAGGTACAATGCATTTCCATGCCTAATAGAGAGGTGGTGAGGAACTAATATCATTAACAAGGGGGATTCTCGTAAATCAGTAAAGCAAGTCTAAAAAAGACTGGAAGACCCACTGGAACAAGAAAGCGGGAAAGGCCGCGGTAGAGATGGGCTGACTCGGTGCAGTCTTGATTTTCTTGCAATTAATGAAGAGAATTGGCAATTACAAACAAATAGGAAGTCGTTATGGAGAAATCTTCAGAAGAAGGCATTGGCCCACATTAGGCTGTTTGGCCAACTATGATGATGATGAATAAAGTTAAGTCTGGAAAATTTCATAACTCTAGAAAACTCAGGAAAAAGTCAAAGAATTTCCCAAAATGTTTCAAAATCAAGGAAAAATACTTTATCAGCATTTAAGAATTTTTTTTTATTTTAAAAAGTGACACATCAGAAACCTTTAAAAATTTTATTCAATATAAATTATTTTTCTTTTTGTAAATTAACTTTATTGACATTATAATTTAAATTTTTTATTTTATTTTGAGTATGTTTTCAATTTTAAAATAACAGTAATATTTTCTAACCAATATAAAAAAAAAAGACACTTTTATCCATTCATTAAAATATTTTTTAAAAAAGGAAGAAAACCACACACACTCAATATTAGAAGAAAATTAAATTAATCAAATTGATAAAGGCCATGTCTAACAATCTGTGTGATATAATTGTCACTTTTTCAATTATGATAATTAGCATAATCTATGTAGTATAATTGGTAAACTTTCTGATGTAATTAAGTATATTTTTTGCTTCAATAATAGTTAAAAGTACACTGCTCAAAAAAATTAGGGGACCCATGTGCTCCCCTAATTTTTTTGAGCAGTGTATTTCGTAATATATGTTCGAAAGATGAAGTAAAACAGCATCAGAAAGTTTAAGCAAAAGTTAGAAAACTTGGTTTGTGTATAGTTCTATCAAACACAGGTTGGCCAGCTTGTGGAGCATGCCATTATTAATAAGAAAAGTTTTTCTTTATATAAATTGAAAAGAAAACAACTATTATATTGAGAAAATGAACTTTATCAAATTGAAAAATGGTCATTGAAGAATATGGTCTTTTTCAATCATTTGATAAATTATATTTTCAACTATATTAACATCATCTGCGTGATATAATTTCATAAACTTTCTGTTATAATTAAGTATATTAATAGGTATAAAAAGCATTATGTAATGTATTCTATACATATACAAAGAAAAAAAAAACAGAAAAGATAACTAAAAGTGGAAAAAAATAACTTGTTTTTTGGTTTCTGTTGTATTTTTGGACCAATATGTAAAGCATGCCATAGCTTGTGTTATCTTCAAACTTAAAAAGTAAACAGATATTATTATGATAAAATTAACTAAGTCACATTGAAAAATATGGTCTTTGGCAATCTTTTGGTGAATTATATTTTCAACTAACATCACCTGTATGATAAAATTCATAAACATTCTTCTACAATTAAGAATACTTTTCACTTCAATTATAGGTAAAACTGCAGTGCAGTCTATACACATATATAGTTTGTCTAAAGTAAGAACTCTCCTGGACATTCGTCTGGTCCCGTGGCGGTGACTACGGTAACGAGGTATAACTATTTCAAGTAGGGGTGTGGGGTCACTGCTTAAGACTTTTTGCTCGGATCGGCGAGAGAAAGGGGATCTGTTTCTTCGGTCTATCGTGTAAGTCCTTGAATGAAGACATGCTACACTACACTTTTCTTGTTTCCATAGCAGCAGACGACTTCAGACTTAGTGGCGGAGGGAGTTCCTACTGTAGACAAACTATAGGAAGATGAAAAAGAACAAAACAGAAAAATCAATCAAAAGAGAAAAAAAAACTTGTTTTTGGTTTCAATAGCCTTTTTGAACCAATATGCAAAGCATAAAATAACCACTTCATTAAAAAAAATTTCAAAATTGAAAACAGATATTATTATGAGAAATATATTTTGATCAGATCGACAAAGACCACTGCAAAACATTATTCAACCATTTAACATGTTTAGCTATTAATGTTTTTTCCCAGCTGATATTGGTTGATTTATTACAGCAGTGATCCAGAAAATCTTGTTCTTCGGCAACATTCCACATTCCTTTTGAGTCCCATTCAGATTTGAGTCTTTTATTTTGCAAAAAATCATCTGTATTTGGAAGTTTGACAGAAGAAAATGCATCAGTCTCAGTCAGTTTTATTTCTCGAAGTAAGAACCTCCGATGGTACCACAATGTTTCGTGGCCGGGATATGAATTTTGCAGACTTGAAAGAAAAATCAGCTCTTTGTGTATGAATTCAATCCACTGTTGCAGCGGTAATTTGTTGTCGATGGCCGAGTAGCACAGATCGGGTTTTTCTTCCGAGAGTTCCAGCATGCATTGTGATTGTTTATGTAAAGCACAAGAGGTGGCATCTTTTGCATTTAGAGATGCAGTTCGATAACAAGATAAAAGAAATTGGCGATAATGAAACCCAGAATGATCAGAAATGTGTGAGGATATCCAAGGTTCTGTTTGTGAAAGCTCCTCTGTAACACTCTAAAAATAAAATGTAAAAAGTTCTTTAAATTTATCTATATTAATAAAAGGAAGTTAAAATGTGTTCTTTAATAACTCCTGAACTAATTCTGCGAAGATTCTCTGTAATTTGGATGACAGGTGAAACAGATAATTTCTACCCTCAAACTTAAAAATTGTTAAAATTTTTTTTAATTAGATTATTTGGTTCCAGAGATTCTGCGAAATTTTCTCATTGGCTTAACATCGCTATTTTTTAAATTTTTTACATTGCACTATAGATGATTAAATTTTTATATGAATGTGGTAACATAGGCAAACTATGTAACCAAATTAGTATTCCTAAAGTTATCTGTAACCACAAGATTATTTTGTTTATAGTTATGCATTTAAAATATGTTTTCATAAAACTAGATAATTCAAAGTCAATGGTAAATGAATCAAAACTAAAAAACTATGTACTAAAAAGCAAAATTAATGAAAAAAAGGCACCTTTTCATTTCGGTAAACTGTAAAAAAACTGCCACGCTATTATAAATGCCAATGGTGGTTAATAAATTTTGATAATAGATACTATTGGAATTGTGGTAATAGATTTTTTATGGCCTTCCAAAAGGGAAAGTACCAGAAGAAATTTTTTAATTGAGATAAATGACAATCATGAATTGTTCTCATGCTAAATGATAATGGGTACTGTTAATCTTTGCTTTGATGGGATCAAAAAAATTATTTTGCTCAATCTGCTGATGTAAAAACACCAGGATGAACAAGGAATAATAATAAATGAATAAAAAAAACTGGAATTATAATAGTTTTTATCTATTATGTTGGCATATGCCTTTCAGTTTTATGCATCATTTTGTAGTGTTGATGAATACTGATTCAGTGTTTTATACTTTCCTTTTACTCTATATGAAGAACAGGTAATCAGCTAGTAAATCCATACTTTAAAATAGAGCAAAATTTAAGTATATTAAAATGCTTATTATTTAGAATAAATTCAAATTTTGAAATGAAATATATACATCTGTATTATCAATCTTTCATATTAACAACATAAATAAAATATTTATATATTTTTAAAATCAACCTTCTTAAGCAAGCATAAAACACATGGAATGGCAAAATTAAGGAAAGTGCTTGGAAGTGACCCCCAGTGAACAAAATAAAATATAAAACACCATAATAACTTTTGATCAAGTGGTCAGATTTTTATGTACTAAGATGAAATCTTAATGGTAAGAGGGTATTACATAAATTCTTTCGCGTCGACTGTCACATATACGCGGCAGCATGTAAGTCGCTCTTCCTGGCGAATACAACGGTGCGCCAGAGTGCTTTCTCTTTCCCTCCTGGCAGTCACATACTAATGATAGTGTTCTGGAACGTCTTAAAAATTTTAAATTTAGTTACAAGATAGGACTGCATCTTCATTGTAATTGAGATACACGTAGACTATACCTTCAATTTGAAATGATTAACATGACTCACATGACAATGGATTGTTGATTATATAAACACAAGAGGAAAGGAATGTTGCTAAATCGTATCAAAGGGAAAGGAAAGTTTTGTGGTAAAACTCTTGATTCATATTATCAGAATAATTTAAAAATGTGACATTAAAAAGTCACTAACTTAATTAATTTTTTTGCTTTCTTTTATTAAATTGCAAGTTTAACAAGTCAATTTTTTCGAGTATAATTCAATCGAGTATATTTCACAGTATTTTAAAACCTTCAAAAAATAAAAGTCAATAATGTCAAAAGTAAACGGTAAATAAATACTGAAAAATATTGTTTAAAAATGTAATGACAAAAAAAGAAACTTAAATAAAGTATGATGATAAAAAATATAAGTAGCTTTTGTTGCTTATCTGTTTAACAGCACATAATTGACGAATATGTTCATATTTTGATAATTTGGTGGATTTAGTCTTAACAGTAACCCCCCCCCCCCGCTTCGGACAAGTACTCAAGAAAGAGAGACCTTGCCTCAGAAATAAGCACATATTTGAAGCTCCCTTCACGAAAGGGTTAAATAAGCTAAATAATTTGTACAGAAAACAATTTAAGCAACAAAATAAGATATGTAAAGGTACTTCCATTGAATAACTATAACTCTTTTCAAGGCATTTGGGATTTTTGACTCTCAAAATATGGTTGACAGCTGCAATTTGGAAAACGTGATCTTAATGAGTTGAGTCAGGAGAGCAGTCAAAAGTTTGAATACCTCAATGTTAATTTTATTGAGATAAATATGGATACTAAATAATTTCCTTAGATAAAGATATTTGAATTCTGAGTTAAAAAAACCATAATAAATTCAATTATTCAACTACATAAGACAGGAAATAAATAAATTTAGATTATCAACTCAGCTGATAAGTGTTGCATATACAATTTCTAAATAGTAGTATTTTATTAAAAATTTAACCTAACAGAATTAACATTACTGGTTCTAAACAGCATAAATTATTTTATTTCTAGGTTTCTAAGATTAAATATTAAATTAATTAAGTCTTTCTAAACTAGTTTTTCATAGTTTTCATTAAAATTTGCCTCATTAAAAGAACATAGAAATTAAAAAAAAATTTTTTTTTAAGAATTATTATTGCAACAATTTTTTTAATATTCTCATTACATTTATCTTAAGCTCTTTCGTTGTGAAAATGATGATCCCATTACAAAAATACATAAGAAAAAGGAAATTTTTTTTTTTATTATTATTTTATTTTGAACCTTCTTTATTGCTCCCACAACTAGTATTTATTATTGTAATACACATTTGGTAGACAAAGTTCCTTAACTGCATATTTAATTAATCAACAATTTTAATTTAGATTGAATTTATATTAAAAATAATAAATTAAATTTAGAGAATTCATTTTTTAAGTACATTTTATAGTTTTTTACTTATAATCTATAGTTAAAACAAAACTATAGGGTTTATTTCATTAAATTCTACAATTAAAATAGAAATAGATATGCAACATAAATATTATAAAATACCATCAGAAGAAAGAAAAACTAAAATATTTGTGTATTTTTCGGGCACCATGTGAACATTAACAAAAAAGTTTATAATTTTTTGTCACCTGAAAATCTAAGATAATTTGTATTAACTTGATTCATTCTTTACTTTTGTAAAACTATACTATACTGTAGTTTTACAATACAGTTGTATTAACTTACTTACAACTGTATTGCATAGCGACATACATTAATTCAAAAAGATTTCCTTTCAAAAACTACTTTGATTTTACACAAATTAATTTTCAGATGGAAATAAAATGGATATGTAAAATAAATATTATAAAATACCATCAGAAGAAAGAAAAACTAAAATGTTTCTGTATTTTTCAAGCACCATGTAAACATTAACGAAAAAGTTTATAATTTTTTGTCATCTGAAAATCTAAGATTTGTACAAACTTGATTCACTTCTTACTATTATAAGACTATACTGTAGTTTTACAATACAGCTGTATTTACTTAGTTACAATTGTATTGCATAGCGACATACATTAATTCATAGTTTAAAAAGATTTCCTTTCAAAAACTACTTTGATTTTGCACAAATTAACTTTCAGGCGAAAATAAAATGAAATGTCCGTCAGTAAACAAATGAATAACTCACAATGGATGAAGCTAGTATAAAATAATTACTAAATTACACAAAATAAGCAATATTTTTTAAAAGTTTATTTAAATAATCTATGAAGAAAAAAATCACCTTTAGGCAAGATTGTAAAATTTCTTGCATAATCCATGAACGATGGGACCAGGCATAGTAGTTATTTGCATACAAGTTAGCCATACGTATACAAACAAAAAACTCATGTTTAATTGTTTCTGGATATATAATTTCTTCTTTTATTTTTATCAAAGTCCATTTCCTACAACAAAGTCATGAATTAAAGTAAACAAAATAAAAATATTAAATGCATGAAACAAAAATGATTTTCAGAAACGTTGAGTAAAAAACAATTACTATCTAAGCTAAAAAATAAAAATAATTTGAAATAAATATGATTACTTTGAAAATTTATTAACTCAAAATTCGGAAATACTTAAAAATATTTTATAATCAAAATTTTAAATAATTTGCCCGATTATGCACAAATCTATCTACTTCAATTTACTTATATTTTAAAGTATCTTAGTTATATATCTCATAGAACAGACGCTCATAAGTTAAAATCCTATTAACATCAGGTAAATAATGAGAGTTTTTTTACTTACTTAATACATAAACATGATGAAAATTTATATATAGCAGCAAATTAACTTCTCAGAAACGCCAGCATTTTGTCAAAGATGTTTAAAATAATGCAAGATAGATATGTGTTAATAAAGGCGTGTTCATTTTGATTTTTTACTTCGGAGTCCTTTCGCTTTTTTATTTGGATGCATTCTGTGAACATCGATTATGGTTCATTTGCTATACATAACACTGATTAGTAATTCAGCGATAATTAGTTATTGATACGGCTAAAGCTTACAATTATACAGATTTGAATATTAAATATGCCTTAGCTATGTATAACACTGAATTATTTAATGGTTAGAAAATGGAGTAAAACTTACAATTTCACAGATAAGAATATTATGTAAAGTGCATCTGCTACGCAAGATACAGACCATTCAAATAGTGGTCTGTGTCAATTAGTGGGAAGTGAAAGGAGTAAAGTCTACAATTTCACAGAGTAGAATATTAAGAATCGTGCACAAGCCATGTCGACACAGACCATTTGTATAGTGGTCTGTGTGAATTAGTGGCAAGTGAACATTTAGAATTTGGTACTTGCACTTCAAGAAGTAGATCACTGTTACCCAATCATGTGACTTATGGCGTCAGAGTCAGTTGATTGTTTATCAGCAAAACAGTGTGTTAAAGTTGAGCTAAGTTTCTCCACATAAGTTAAAATGTAAATTATTGTGAAGTTAAATAAATACAGTGCTGTATCCCCCGTCTAATTTGTTGAAATATAATTTTTCTCGTCTACTTCTTTTACTTAACTTAGATTTATTACCGTATATTCCGGCGCATAACGCGCCCCGGCGTATAACGCGCACCCGTAATTTCTAATAACTTTTTTTAAATTTTAAGATATACTCTTCGTATAACGCGCACGAAAATTTGGATTGTACGTGTGCAATATCTCGTCTAGTATCTATAGAAAACCGGAAAGCCTTTTAGTGTGGGACATGTTTAAGTCCCACCTTACAGATAATACAAAAAAAAATTTTTTGAAAGAATGTAACACCGATATGGCAGTTATTCCGGGCGGATTAACACCATTAGTTCAGCTATTGGACGTCTGCTTAAACAAACCATTTAAAGACAATTTTAAAAAAAACTGTGGAACATTTGGATGTTGGAGGGCGAGAAAACCTTTACGAAAGGAGGACATATGCGTCATACAAGTTTGGAAACAATGTGCGAATGGATATTAAAAACATGGAATGAAATTAAGCCTGAGATGGTTAGAAAATCATTCAAAAAATGCAGCAATTCAAACAATCTGGACGGATCAGAAGATGACTGTTTATTTATGGATGAGGGTAACACAGATGATGAAGACGAAACAGATTGTGATGACGTGCCTGAAGAAATAACGGAAGGCGGATATAATGAACTATTTATATGTAATAACGAAAATCAATAAAGTATATAGGTAAAGGTATGTTATTTCTTTAAAATAAAAGTATTTTTCTATATTTCAATTTTTTTAATCTATAATTTTTTATATTCGGCATATACCGCGCACCCGTAAATTCCAATGTTATTTTTTGTATTAAAAGTGCGCGTTATACGCCGGAATATACGGTATATGCTTATTTATTTTATCGTATTTCGTGTACCTGGCAACTTTGATGCAGAATTAGTTAGCTTATGTTCTATATGGCTTCGTGACAGTCCTTGTGTTAAGTGCTTGTGCAAATAAATAGTGAATGAATAGAAATCTTAGTGAAAGAATATAGGATGCGTCACTTGAGAGAATTGATATTTGATGGGTTTGGCTTACTTGATATAGAATGGAAAGACCAGCTGCTAACATAAACAAATGCCACCTTTCAACAACCAATCAGAATCGAGATACCCACACTATGTCACTTGCAGGTATCCCAATCCACAAAGTAAAATAATGAGCGTGGAACACCAACTATACATAACATTTAACAATTGTTAGGTGATTATAAATTATCTAATCTAAACTACACATTAAGACATATCCAGATTTTAAAGTCATAAAAGTGATGCAATGCTTATACACAGTATTAATAGATTTTTTAAGGAAGGTACAAGCTTTATTTACATCACTGCACAATGGACTATTGGAGATGGTCTGGGAAACATCCCTGAGGATGATCCGAACACATAACTTTGATCCTCTGCAGAGGGGATGGCACCCCTGCTTTGGTAGCCGAACGACCTGCGAGCCAAGTCGAGCACTTTACAGTAGAACAGTTTAACGAGGACAGATACCGCACACCCTTGGTCCCTATGCAGGCTGGTCAAAGTGGTCACCCACCCGCTTACTGACCGCAGCCAGTGATGCTTGACTTTGATGTCCTACTGGGAACCATGTCTTTACGATCAGTCCACTGCGGGACAGAGTTCTATAGGATTTCTAACTATTGAGCATTTATGGCGCTATTAGATATGCACCAAAGATACATACATAAATTACTATCAACTGTTTTAAACAGCTGTTGAGTAAATTATGAAAAATAATTTTATTGCAGTCCACACATTTGATATACGCAGATCTGCATTTAATTTATCACAAAATATACAGTATTCACGTAAAGTAAAATAATTTTAAAATTGATACAAAGATTTCAAATACTATAATAAAGTTATTACTTATGCAAAGTGAGACATACTTCTAAAATATATAGATTAATTTTTAGTTTCAGCATTAAAGAAAATGCTTCTAGAAATGCAAAAACTAAGTTTTTGAAAAAATAGCATTTGTAAATTTTTTTTCACTTATAAATATTTTAAATAAATTGTAAAATTAATTTTGATTAATGACTTTTCTAAGAAATTCAAAGGAAAAAATTTCATGAATTAATTTTCGAATAAATTCTAAAATCAATTTTCAAGAATTAATTTTCCAATGATTTCTAAAATCAATTTTCCTCGATGAATTTTCTACAAAACTTTCAAATCAATCTTGATTAGCTTCTAAAACTAATAGATTCTAAAATCAATGAATTTTTCAAGGAATTCATCCAGCATTCTTAATGGGTGAATTTTCCATAAAATTCTTGAATGATGAATATACTTTATTCTGACTCTTATTATAGCTTCAGCTTTAAATTAGCAATCAAATCATTATTATCATAATAAAGTAAAAAAAAAAAAAAANAAAAAAAAAAAATGTGTTATAATTTATTTACAGGTGCAATCTTCAAATAACAATAGCTTTTGCTTAACACTAGAAAAACTGAACATTGCTGTATACCTAGAAAGTCCAATAGGGCCAGTCTGGCCCTTCACAGATTGTATGTGTAGATCAATTAGACATCCTAAATCTTAAAATATAATCATAATTGAAGTAATAAAAAATATATTAGAGACTTAGTCATCAAATTTATATGGTATTTTATTCGATTTGATTAACGAAAATATTTCATTAAACAGAACACAGATTATTTAGTTATACATGTTTTTTAGTTAATTTAGTTTTTTTACTCTATAAATAATAATTAGAGCTATGATAAAATACTCGTTTTTTTTAAAAATGAAACTGAGCTACCTCATACCTACTAAAGGGTATCTTACACCAAAAAATACCTGGGCTTATGCGGTACCTATCAAAATACCTTAAGGGCCACCCCGCCTCTGTCGTCTTTTTAGGTATAAGATTCTATAGATACATTCCTATAAAACTAATACATGAATGACTAAACAGGCACTTAAATTGGATCAAATTATAAAAATTCAGAAATACTAAATAATTTTTGTGATTTATTTTTACAACTACAGAAAAATGAAAAGCAATAGAAGCCAAAATGGCTCCTGGGGTCTGTCTAGTGTAAAACGCTTGAGGAAAAAAACTACAATTTCTTTGCTGCAATACCGAAACAAAATATACAAAAGTACAATAAAATTTATCTGGATTGTTGGAGACACGCTACATACAAATAACTGTTTTAAACATTCATATCCAAGCAGCAAAATAACCTGCTCTCATAGGACCATTATTCATGAATCTTCATTCAATAAGGGTACAAAGAGCCGTTATTTTTCGATATTGGCCCCATATAGAATTATCCCATTCACACGATATTTTATAGTCACATTACAACCGATATTGGCCCTATATAGAATTTTCAGATTCCCCAGATACTTTATATTCATTATTCAGCCAATATAAGCCCCATGAAGACCGATATTGGCCCTATATAAGACCAATATTAAAAAATCTAGACATCCCAATATTGGTCCTTCTGTGGTTGGACCTATACTATCATATAGGACCTATACCGAGACAATTTTGAGCCCAACTGGGACCATAGTAATAGTTGCTAGGGATTAAAATTGAAAAAGAGCCAGAAAAAATAAATTTGTATTCATTAATTTGCGATCCATCTTATACAGAGCTATATTATTCGAAAAACCATTTTATTTCGCCAATAAATAAAATTGTTCTTTTTGTTGCATTGTAGGACACGAGAATTTTAAATATAAAAAAAAAAAAAAATCATTTAGTGACAAAAGCACAGAATTTTAACAAAGACATAAATACCAATAAAAAAAGTATATATAGAAATTATTCATGTACTACTAAAATAAAATAAATTACCTGTGAGCAAATACAGGTGAGCTCTTAGGTTTTCTACTTAAAACTAGTTCAGAAAATCTCAACTCATCGGTAAATTTTGGTTTATCTCTCAGTGTAGTTTCTGATTTACATAAAAGCTCCTTCCTGAAAAAATACAAATAATAAAAATGTTGAACATTTAAGAAAAATTATAAAATTAAAAAAAAAAAGAAGTAGAAACAAAAAATAAATAGTTTAATTTCTTCTTAATAATACAATAAATAATAGACATTACGCTGTTATATATAACTATAATGCTTGATATAAATTCACTAGATACAAATTACAACACTAATAATAAATAATAAAAAAATAATAGTGATTATCCTAAACAAAGAACATAAAAATTTAATTTCAAACCATTAATAAAATAGATGCCTTCTTTCTTTTTAATAACTAAATAAAACAAAGAATCGTTATTAATAAAATTTGGTTTTATAAATGATTTTTTTATAAAACAATAAACTGATAAACTAGTGAAAATAAAGATTCCAAAAAGAAAAATTTTAAACTTAGTGTCACAATGAACTCAATTTTCCAAATTTCAAATTGAACATAAAAGTTCTTAAAAATTAAGTACAATAAAGATTTCTTTAAAATACAAAAATAATTCTTTAAAACAATCAAACTGATAATAAAATGTATGCGAAAATTTTTGTCATAATGCTTACACACTACAGTTATTTGAAAAGTAAAGACAAATCTCTTGTAAAACATAAACGATCCCAGATTTTTCTTGAAAAATTTTTTTGTTTGATATTCGACATGTTTCTTAATTGCTCTATTTTGTTTTCATATATTTTCAAAAAATTTGTCATAATGTTCTACATGTCTGCCTTCTATGAGAATACTCAGCTTTAGCTTCTTCTTTAATCTCCTAATCTCAGCTAAACTTTTGCTGAGAAATTAATTTAGATTGTGGAAAAAGGGAAAGTTGCTTGGTGCCAAGTCCGAACTGTGTAATGAGTGGTCAAACAATAATAACCCACTTCTTAAAAATTTGATAATCAAAATATTCACTGATATTTTTTTAAAAATTATTTCATGAGGCAGAGCTTCCAAATAATAAGAGGCTCTGTTTTAAAAAATTGGCTGAAAATTTAGATATTTCCTTAATTTAATAGTGCAATATAATTTCAACCAAAGAAGGATAATTTTTTGAGCAAAAGGTGATGATAAAATTCAGATTGCAGAAACATTTTAAGTACATGTAATAACTTAACACAATATTAAGAAAACAAGAACTAGTCACATTTAAATTAGAAAAATTATATAAATTAATAAATATTACATTACCTAGCATTCCATGCAGTTTCAATTTCAGGATTAATTAATAAAATGACACATGTCCACATCAAAACAGTTTCAATGTCTAAGAAAAAAAATGTTTAAATTAAAGCAAACATTAAATAAGCAAAAATAGTAAACTGTACTTTGAATTTAATATTGAAATCAAACATATGTTTTTAAAATCAAGTTCATTTCAATTTCAGAATTGCTGCTGTTCACTGCAGAAATTCATAAACTCCATAAAAAATATATATATATGTAAAATAATATTAATTTTCATCATTTAAGAAATTTATAAAAAAAATATAATAAGTTATACGCATTAGCATGTAGAGACATTTTAAACAGAAATTAATCAAATTACGCAGTTAATAACACACAAACACTATTTACAAACAACAGTTTCAAAAGTGATAAAACCAGAAAACTCAAACGTACTAGTCTTAAGCTTTTTATTTCTCCAAACAAAGAACTTCTTATAGACATAAATATACAAAGGCTTCACACACCAGTTCTCGAGAGCAAGTTTATTCATTACATGGATAACTGGTGATTTATTCTGCATAGATTCATGAACGGGTAGAATGTCAAACTCATCTCTAGAAAGTAAAAAGTTGCGAAACAATTACCACAATGGAAATGGCAAAGAAAAGTTAATTCAAAAATTTTGCAAAGGTTATTGTAATATGTACCACACATTTATTAAATTTTATTGAGACTTGACACTCAACAAAAACAGAATAATATACCAGACTGGTTTTGGGTACCTGGAATGTCTAATGGGCAAATATTTTATAAGTTATAGTTTTCAGTAAATTTATTATGCCCTGATTTATATTTTTAACTAAGTGAATTTGTTTTTATTCGTTTTCAAACCATATATAAAAAGGTATATTGATTAGATTTCGGAAAAACTGATCACATGTGAAATGATCAAATTAGAACTTAACCGAAGAAACAGCTGCTAATGGTGGAGTAATTCATTCATTTTAATATTGATTTTTTTAACTTTTTAATAGCATTTATTAATGTAGCTTTGCTAAATGTAGGATAATTTTGTAGTATATTTTAACCATAAAATGATAATATATTGAATTAAAAATGTCTTATCTACTAAATAACTATAAATGTAACTTATGTGCAATATTAATATGATTATATGAGCTATATTAATTATGAACTATAATAATATGAGCTCCTAAATCTTTCAACAGTTGGATGGAAATTTTATTTTATTACCAATGTTAAACAGAAGACATTGAAAAGCTAGCAAGTTTTCCATTTTAATGTTTAATTTCATGTCCTTGATCCAATATAGAAAACAAAGTAGCTCTGAAAGACTTATTGCTTTATATTTGCGCTACATTAAAAAAAAAAAAAAAAAAACTTCAGGGTTAGCCCATTGGTAAGGGATCACTAGCCTTACTGGTTGAAAATTGAACTTATTAAGCTAACGAGAAAAGTAACGGTCCTTTCGGAAAATATTTTCATTTAAAGATACCACTTGGTCATTACATTCATATTGTGCTTCTGTTCAATATAAGCATGCATAAGCACATACTGAAAGTACAACAAAATATTCTCAAATCCTTGTCATGTAAAAATAAAAAAAATTATTTGAAGACTTTATGGGTGGAAGTTCTATTTTAATGGAACCTGCTGAATTAATTAATGTATTTATCTAATGTTTTAAAATATTTTTTTTCATTTAATCAAATATCAATAAACAAGGGTCCTTATAGACTTTTGGGGAAAAGTCCTGTTTTTATGAAGTGACAGTTTACTTTTGATCCCTATGACAGAATTTTCTCGAGCTTTCTGGCGACAATTTTCTCTAGTACTAATACCTTTCTGAAAGGCATTTTTAATAGTAGCAAATATATATATGTTGCTATTTTAAAGTAACAGAAGCGCTTTCAGTTTACAAAAAAAAAAAGTCTTCATGTATAGAACAGAACAGTATATAATTTTTTTAATTTCAAATACAAGAATATTTTTATAACCTACATTTAAAAGAATACTTCGAATATATATTCTCCTGTTCTAAAAAAGTATTTGCATAGTTAACTTTTTTTAAATTTTTGTAATTTGGAAATTGCATTTTATAATACCAATCTGAAATTCTAGCAAAAGCAAAATTTTCATAAATGTTTTAAAATATTCTTAATTGCGGAATTTTTTTATTCGCAAAGAAAAGTTTAAAAAAATATATGTATAAATATATTACTAGTTCTTCAACCTCCAATATGCGAGAAAGGCATTTTATGAAAATAATTCTGCCGAAAGGGTGAAAAAAGTACAGCAGAAAAAAAAAATTTCGAAAAATTCTGCAGATAAACAAAAAAAACTTTTTTGCTTTCCATATACAAAATTTCTCTGCCAGAATTCTGTAATGTTCTTCGACAATGTCGTTGTTTCGCCATGATTCTGCTATGGGGCTTATGATTTTGTTTATTTTGGAAACTACACATATTTTGTGAATCTAAAATATTTCGAGTTAAGATAAATTTAATTTTTCATCTAGGGCACAATTATTGTTAGTTTGTGAAAAAGAAGATCCTGTTTTTATAAAAATATAGTGCAATGATAAAAATAGTAGTAGTTAATTTTTTTTTTTTGCAGAACTTCTTTTTTACTATTAAATATTTTTTGAAAGGTCCATATTAATATACTTTACAAAGGTTAGTATTAACAATAATATATTTTATAAAGGTCCGTATAAACAGTAATACTTTTTAATTGGTCCCTTAGCCCACCCATATTACCCCTGAAAAGCACAATTTAAGTTCAATATTTTATATGAAATATTTAACTTGAATTGCGCTCATTTGAAATTAAATACCTAGATTAAAGAATTCAATTTAACTTCGTTTGACATATTTTAGATTCACAAAACTAAGTGTAAATTTTCAGATATAAATAAAATCACATGTAAATTTTCACTACTTCATAAAAATAGAACTTTTTACCAAAAGTCTAAAAAAAACCTTGTTTATTACTATTTGAAAGATATCTTAAGACATTGGATAAATACATTAATTAATCCAGCACTGAAAAGAATTTTCCATTCATCAAGGAAGGAAACCCACCATTTTCAAATCTCTTTTTGTTTTTACCTAACAAGAATTTGCAGAATATTTTATTGTGAAGTACAGAACTTTATGTTATTAAAACGTAGGTTAATTTTAAAATGTTTTCTTCTTCATATCTTTGAGCTGTCATAGATTTATTTATTCATCTTCTGTTAATTTATTTATTTTCTTTTATTGGGTGAAGCAAAATTTAACAACTAGTTCAGAAAGAAATACAATTAAAAATTTTTTTTAGTTTTGTCACTCTGAATTAGTTATTACTGGAGATAAAATTTATTTTAACTGTTTGTCCCATTATGCCTTCATTTCTATTTACTAATAATAAGTACTAGAATTTAGCACTCAAGTAACTAACTATTAATCTATCTAGTATATAAATTATTAGCAAAATCAGTTTTAATTGATGGAAGAAAAATTTCCCTTTAACCTTTCTATTGCAAGAAAATCTATAATTTGAAAAAAAATCAAGTTAACAGCAATTTTAAAATTGCAATAAAGCATAGTTATTTAATAAAATTGAAAAAATTATTTAGAGAAGAGTAAATTTTCTAACATTAAAAGATCATTTTCAAGAACATTTCTTAAATCCCTTATAATCCTTTCCATAAGATCATCTTCAACATCAATATCCATTCTCACAAATATCCTTTAAGGAAACTGAACATCAGATAGCTATCACATCCTCAAGAACTGTCCTATAAAAAATTCCATGTTTAAGATATATATTAAACCTTTCAATAATATAATAACATTTCCTGAAATAATATCAAACTATTTTTAACGTATAACTAAACTTACTAATGAGTAACAAATTTACATTATAAACATCATTTATTCTGAAGAATAATGATTTTTTAAATAAACAATAAATAAAGTCAGGAATTGAGACAACAGAGATTTCTCTACTTTGTGGGAATATGAAAATTAGATAGTATAAATTTAGCAGTTTTACATCAGTTTCAGGAATAGAGATTTTTGTAAAATTCCAAGACGGTTTAAAATTTGATAAAAGTAATATTTTAAAGTTAATAGCTCAAAGGAGAAATGCTTTGAAATTAGTCATACATTTATTTATTTAAAAAATAATTCACCTGAGTATAAGGAGAAAATAATTCAAATCGTTTTTAAGAGTTTTATTTCATAATATGCAATATACTTAAGATTTTTTGTGAATTACCAATTAAGAATTAAAATCTAAAATCTTTCATATACGACAACTCCAAAAAGCACTTTATTTGTTTCATTAGTAACGTTTCCGAAAACATATTTCTGCCCTGCTCTGAGTTCACTGATTAAGCCTATAAAAATTAAGTCTCAGTTTTAATGGATTTGTTTTGATGCAGATGAGATCACAAAGCTACGCCATCTGGGAAGACCGAATCCATGTTTTGACCCTCTCATATTTTCAGTTGTATTGGAGAATATATTTATACGATATGTATGTATAGGATATTTTCCCTTTTCTTAATATATTTCGTATTTACTTGCCAAAAATATTTTTTAAGTTTCCATGACATTTTCTTTCACTTCAATGTAGTTTTGTTCCATATAGTTTCCTAACTAAAAAGTTTTCGATCTGTTTGAAAATCCAAGACAGATACTAATGCTCATTTGTCTCCTCTGACTCTCAACATGCTTATGGTTTAAGTATGTGAAATATTGCCATAGTTCTGCTCTAAGCCACCTGTAGCCTATTTCGATCGTCAATACTAGAGTTGAGCAAAAGGAAACATGAAAGAGATTAGAATCAATAGAATCAATCAGTTTACTTAGGTCGTGATTCGAATCCAAATTCAATCACTTAGTGATTCGTTGTTTCGAATCACTGATTAAATCACTTACTGATTCAAATTACTTTTTGATTCGTATCACTCACTGATTCGAATCACTTATTCGGTGATGTGAATAATTTACTATCAATATAGTGATTTTCATAGAAAAAAAGTACAGTAATTATATTATACTTCGCTTTTCCCTTATTGTTTTAATGTTACCTTTAAGTTATGTTTCCATGTTTGTTGAGATTGATTCTAATTTTAACACGAATAAAGGGCCTAAAAATTAGGACTAACTTGAGAATTTCAGAAACTAAGATTAAATTCTACTCGCTGCACTCAAAGGGTGTAAAGTCCACATTGCTCAACATTTATTTCAAATTTCTGAGATTATATCCTGCTGGGAACAGTCTGGCGATCAAAGGGTGCCCATATTCGGCGAATATTCTGGAAAACCTTGAATGCCCTTCATCGACATCGGAAAGGGGGAGTTCCCACGATTTGATTTGCTAGAGTGATATGTTCAAGTCCTGAGAACATCCACCATCAATGACTGACAATTGCGGAACTGCATACCACAATTGCGGAACTGCATACCACAGGTGGTTGAAAAACAATAGTGAATTGTAAAGTTCTTCCATTCCTTTCCCAAAAAAGGATGGGTAAAAAAATAGGGTAATTTTTTTACAACACTTGTATTGCCAAGATCGAAAATTTAAGAATTTGACACTACGACAATTTGCTCGTAAATGACTTGGACAACCCCTCTCATTGTTCTACAACATTTGTACTGTCGAGATTGAAAAATTTTATAATCTGAACAAATAAAAAGTTTTGGCGCAACACATGGTGTTTGCAAATCAATTCTCCGCGGATGCGATGCAAAACCGGACGTGTGGATGTGAGTGGGCCATTTGAGTGCAGTGAGAATATTCCAAGGATCGAAAACACCGTTTTAAGTTTCTGAGTTTTTTTTTTTTTTTTTTTTTTTTTTTTTTTTTTTTTTTNGTCACGGTACTCAGGTATTTTCTCAAGTGACTGTAGAACACCAAAGTCTAGCATCAGTAGCAGAGACCAGTGAGCGGGTTGTAGACCAATGCGATGAGACTGAAGGTGCTAAGGGACCTAGTTAAAGTGTTCAACCGTCAAGCACTCCACTTTGCGGGCAGGTCATAGATATAAAGGCCCCTATATTAGTCCCTGGGGCAGGTCATAGGGCCCTCCGGGACGTTTTCAAGACCGTCAAAAATACCAATTGTGTTGCTCTAGTGCGACGCATATAAAGTATTAATACTAATATTACATAACAAGTTATTTTCATTTCTTGAATATAGACAGATTTGCATGTTTTTGATACATGATTAGTTATATTAATTTATGAATAATAGCAAATGGTTGAAAAATAAGCAACAATATGGTCTATTCAAAGTGTGTTTACGTTAAATGAAGAGCAGTGCTGAAAAGGTGTTAAAATTTTTATTTAGGAAGTTTTTAATAAAAGTGTGAACATTTCCCATTGGATCTACGAGCTTATACAATGTACCAAAATATTTTGATAGTCAAGTGTCATTGTACTTTATCTTTAAAAAAAATTTAAAAGCATTAAATTTGATTTATTTTTGTATCTGTATATATACTTGAATATTCACTTCCAATAAAAAGAGCTTAAGGGTTTTATACTATAATTTCCCCCTTTTTTTTACAAAAAAAGAATGAAATTATTACTTGAGAGCGTTTATAAATTAAATATTTTTCGACACTTTGCATGGTGATGTGATAATGAGATTTTTTGGTGCAGGTATTGTTACGGATATCCACCCATTAAATTTTAGACATTTTCAAATTAAATGATTTAAGTTTTAAAGAAATATTCAATTCTTAAAAGTTTTTAATTTAATGTTTTCAATGTATAGTTTAACTTTTTTCTCTTATAATTTTAGCTTCGTCTGCTGGCTTTAGAAGTTTATCTACCAGGAAGGATTGGAAGGTATTTTGAGATTGACTGCTGAACTCTGCAAATGGAAAATGATACACTGTGGTAGAAAACTGAGAGCTTTCAGTTCGATCGGTACAGAAAACAGAACAGGTTTCGGAATGCTATCGGTGCACTTTAAGTTTGTCGGAGATGAAAGTTCTCTTATTGGTTGTTGTGTAGAAGTTTGAAAAAAGGTGCATTCCTCTGTGATTCATCTCTACTGTGTGTTTACATTATTACTTGATGATCATTATAAAAATCTTTCAAAAAAGCATTTAAAGATTCCCGGGTTTATTGCTCTGTAATATAGTTGCACATAAACAAAAAATTGCAACTGAAGGTAAACAAAACTTTAAACTGCATGAAATGACTGTAAAGTTTTGTAATTTTTTCTTATTTAAAAATAATTAAAATGATAACTAACTGCTGCTTTTTGGAATAAAAATTATTTTATTTAAAGACAAATTTGTGTTTTTAAATTCTATTTTACTAAAGCATTATCGGTGAGAATATATTGCTTTTTTAGTTGAGTGAAGTTTATATTTATATTGTATTTTGTTTTAAAATAAAATAATTAAGTTGTGAAATAATGTTTGTCATGATTTGATTTGATTTATTTTTGGCTAATTTATTAATACCAGAAAATTGACTCTAGCATCTGCTTAATTTTTTAAAATTTATTTTCTGACAAGCTCTATTTAAAATGTTTACATATTACACGTGCTTTTTTCTAAACCTATTTATGTCAAACGCATAATCTATAATCAACGAAATAAAAGCAATGGAATTGTTTCAAACAAAAATCAATTATTTTTATAGCAACGTTCTCAAAAGAGTCAAATTTTGATCATTCATACTAAAAGCAATTTTTAAAAAATAATGTAAAAAGTGTTATTATATTTTCGTCTCATTCTTTTATGCAAGTATATGTTAGTGCAAATTTAATTTAGATAAAACATAATAATATTTACTGACAGTTTTGAAATTAAAATTTTATGTAAATTGTTTGCAAAGATTGTTGGTTTAGTACATAAAATAATTATCGAATTGATGAAAATTTCTGATGTGCCCATAAAAGTTATTTTTACATTATAAAAAAAATATTAACAATTTTCACAGTATTAGTTGCTTTCCTGGTTTCACTCCCTGGAAAAATTTCTACGTTGTGTTTTGTTTCAGATGTTTTGTTAAATAAAATTTCAGATGCTAAAAAAATAAAGCTACGTAAGTATTTCTACATTTAATTTCTGTAAAAGAAGGGGCAGAAAATGTGTAATTTATTGAAGTAGGTAATTTGAATATTTTTAAATTTTGTTCTTTATTGTGTCAATTATTACAAGAAATGAACACTTAAAAATTAAACAATTTTATTTTAATATTATAAGAAAAAAATTGAGTTTAAATTTCCTTTCAGTTCAAATGCAAATATATAATATAATTATGTAGTGTGGTTTTTATTACATAATTTCAGAATATAAATAATGAATGTTAATTGTGATATTAAAAATGGCTTAAGTTACAGCTTTTATAAACAAGTTTTACAAACTAACAAATTCAATTAAAATTTTGATAAGAAAGGCTCATTTCTAAAAAAAAAATTAACGATACATTTTTAAACTAATGATTTTAAAATTATTAATGCTACAAAATTCATCAAAAAAACCCATTGTATGAATAAAATGAAAAAAATAGCAATGAAAGTTGCAATATAGTATTTTTTAATTAAATTTGAAATATTTAAAAAGTCAGCTGAACATAAAATATACTTTGGAGTAAGAAGGAGGAAAATGGATGGTTAGCAGAATTCGCCAATATAATTTTATTTAGTATTTCTGTATTGCTAAGTAAATAATGCATGGATTGGCATTATAAAACTATTGTTCTATGCTTCACAGCAATGCAGAAAATTAAGTAAAATTATATCGCCCAATTATTCTACTATCATCCATATCTTCCTCTTACTTACTCCAAGAAGTAAAAAGCGACGCAAGATAATATCAGAAAATATATACGTAGAGCGCCGATTATCCGAACTGCTCGGCACCGAACGTGGTTCGGATAATGAAAAGTTCGGATAATTAGAAAGTTGTTTAAAATCTAATTTAAATGATTATTATTTATGCACTAACTCTCCTTCACACTTTTTCTAAGCTTAGGACTGGCAGTACTATCTAAAATAGCTCTGGCGTGTTAAAAAAAATGTTTTTCAATATTTTTTTAGTACTTTTTTTTCAAGTTGAATTATTTTTATCATATATCAGCTTTCTTATAATTTTTTTTGTCAATTACTGATTTTTACCACATTTTTATTTATTTTCCATTGCAAAAGATATCCAGCAAAAACTTGTGTTTCAAAGAACATGCTCTTTTTTGCGCAGCCATATATCTTATTCTTTTTAAATAAATGAACTGAACTGGATCAACATCATTTTGACGTTCTAGCCAATTCATTGCAATATCTAATGAATTGCATGTTTCTATATGAGAAGGTCCACTATCCTGAACGTGATCACCTACTTTTTCCTCTTAGTCTGCGGAGTTTCGATTTTCATTCCAAATTTCAGCAACAATTTCATCATCATTTGAAATCCTGAGTCTTTTTCAGTGTCTCGACACCAGTCTTCTATTTCTTCTGCTGTATAAACTGGTGTCTTTTCACTCGAAAGATCTACTGATTCAGAAACTTCAGTTTCGTTTGTTTTTCTGTTAACAATTTTATTCCAAGATTTAAGATTCCAAGCACTGTAATCATGAACCATAAGTGACAACTACCCATTCCCCAATTGTAGAACTTCAGCACTTATTTATTCATAAGCTCTTTCCGCATTCCAACCATTGAAGATTGTCAAAATTAAGCTCGCATTCTTTGAAGATAATTTTCAGTTGAAGAGGGCTAAAGGGGTAAGTAGGTTAAACTGTATAACAATACATGCATGATTGGCTACTATAAGAAAACTGCTGAAAGAGGTTGTAAATTAAATATGGTCTTCAGACGTAGTGGATATTTTTTATTCTTCTAAATTTAGAAAAATTGTCAATAAGTTAAAAAGTATTCTAAACTTTAAAAAAAAAAANAAAAAAAAAAAAAAAAAAAAAAAAAACGGACATAGTTTGGATAATTAGACGTTCGGATAATAAGGGTTCGGATAACCGGCACTCTACTGTATTCTAATATTATATAGCATCAAAACTAATGCAAAATAATTTTATAGCGAACGCTAGATAATATTAGTTTGCATAGAATCTATATTATATAAGGCTGAGCAAACAGCGACCTCTTGTATCTTTCCAATATTAGTTGTGTAAGATAACGTTAGATTTTACCGGTTTTCTGACATTATCAAATATCGGGTGCTACTTGGGATAGGTGCTCTTAAGCAGTATTATGAGCATGCAAGCCTGATATAAATAAATAAATAAATAACAGCGGGAATTCTCGCCCTCTGAAACTCATTTTCATTGATCACATATGCACTATATATGCATGAGATTAAATTAATATATTAAAAAGTCACAACTGGTTAAATCTTGCTCAATTCAAATTTATTGAATGGTCCAAATACATGCAGGCTTGTGCGCTCAATTCCATAAGTACAGCTTATGCATCTTTGTCAAGTAGAAAGAGTACAATTCAGAGAATGACAGTATGAAGATGCAGGGTTACGGTGCGACTCGGACCCGCAACCCCCACGGACCACGTTACAGAGCGTTTAGTGAGCAATACCGCTGAGACTCCGTCAATTAAAACTTTATTTCAAGGAGTGGATGTTCTTCATAAAGCAACTCAACATGGTTTAATCCCACCTCTTGCAACGTCTAAATAATACATATAGTTTTGCTTACCTAGTCTCAACCATAAACCACGTTTCAGGAGAGCTATAAGTTTACGCAAAGAGCTTGTTGCACTAATATACACTCTACGTAGCATTCATATGACTGTTCCCTTTGAGCGGAAGGCGGCAGGTCGTAGAGAAGAGAAAAGTGCGAGTGTGTATCGAGTTTAATTTCGTAGCTATAATCTATTTTTCTTTCTGTATTTAACAGAATAGATTTCGTAAATGATTTCAGGAATATTCCTAGTGTATGATTGGACCTGTTAGAGTAAATATGCGTAGCTCGTAATCTTTTATTTGGATGTGTGCACTGGATTATAAAAACCGACTAATGAGTGAAATAATCGCAGTTTTTTCCGAAGTCTTTTCATGAAGTCAGTTGGCTAATAACTAGATTTTAGAGAGAGTGATGTGACTAAAGATAAGTCACGTTTAAATTTTATTTTGAATTTTTATTACTTTCCGAATTTCACTTTTCCCTTTTTTTTGTTGGATAACAAGAAAACATCCACGAATTTATAGTAAAATGTTTAAAAACTCCCTCCTTATTTCAGGATTACCAAAAAACAGGTAAGCCACTTTTACTCTTTACCTTTTGGGGGCCATCCGGTCAAAATGACCAATCTCCTAGACTACCAGTGGTGCTCCAAGGAGCCCATAGAAGATATTTTGGCTCAAGCTAAAAACAACGGCTTAGCAGACTTTTGGTTTAGCATTGAAGCAAAAGAAAAATCCTGTGCTATACCACAGACCTCACCAGTACGCCTTAAAGCAGACCTAAATGCTTCTGTACCGACAAAAAAAATTAAAAGTATTAGATTCCAAAAAAGCGGGTCGCTCCTCATTCAATGTGACGATTTAGAAACTGCAAAA